CATGGCACACAGGTGACATCAGCGCATTAATTCGCACTTTATTGATTTAAATGTAATTTTATGAACATAAATTTATTAAAATATTGTAAATATTGTAAATCTATATCTGTACATTTGAAGCGGAGCATAGTGTGGCCTTGGGTGGAGTCAACGATCACATAAGACCAATAGATGGAGCACGCCTATCTAACTAACATTTAAGCAGGTGAAGCCAGGTCCGCCATCTTATTGTAGGATAGAAGCGATAGATGCCCGAATGTCGATGAAAACGGCACCAAAACTCAATGTTCCGCTTTAAAATAACTCGACATTTAGCCTACTTAGACTTCAGTTATATGGTTGAAACTTCGTATGAGTGAAGTTAGTAAGTCTATGACGCTATTTATTTTAATTAAAAGCTTAAAAGTTAGTATTTTCGGGGATGCGGAATACTATCCCCCGGAAAACTACCCCCCCAGGTGAAACGTGACGTCACAAAATCTGCTAACTAACCAATATGGAAGCCGTGTCCGCGACTGGAATCCAACCCCCTTGACAAATCATGCTATGTAATTTAAATTTTAATTCGAGTAATTCCGTTGGATAATAGAAAAGGCATGTGGTGAATATAAAACAGATTTTCGAAATGTTACAGCAAGTTTGGTTGGTTAGGTTAGGTTAGATTAGAACTGTTTGACAACTAAATTTGAGTGTCCGTGACTGGAAAACTGCCCCCCCCGGTCTCTGACGTCAATATGACGTAGAAACCTGCTTGGGGGGGTAGTTTTCCGGGGGGCAGTCATCCGGCGACCCGTATTTTCTATTTAAATCTTCAAATAAAGTCGGTACTTTTAAATGCGTTTTAAAATATGACATGAAAAAGTTCGTCGGCTGCTACTTTTTTATTTTTTGATCAGGTAAGTTGAAAAACGGTGGATTTTGTAGCTAAAGAGCTGAACCTTTTGGATCATATTTTTTAAAATTTTTAGCTGTTGTAGTTTGGTTGTAATTTAAATTGTAATATAGGGGCTACCCGCCGCGCCGCGTGGCGTCATGCGGGCAGATTCTGCCTACAACGTCACTTGTAATACAGTTTAGATACTCAAATTTGGAGCTATACAGAAAAGTTACTAAGCTAATTAGAAAAACACGGATTACATATAAACTTTCCTCATTTTATTCTTTGTATTCATCTAAAAATTAATATTTTTTAGCTCTTTCATAAAAATTAATATGACAGTCAGAATATAAAGGAGAGTTGTATTAAGAGTTTCAGAAATTATCTTGTCACTTTGAAAATTTGTAGATTGTAAACCAAACATCAGAACTTTATCAAACTTTAATACGATGTAGATACATATATTATAAACAGATTTGTAGCTTTTCCGAATTTTCCTTTCGCCCAAAAAGTTTTTGTTGTTAATTATGTAAACTAATTTTTTTTAAGAAACGGTAAACGCTAGAAAAAAAATCAAAAGCGTATTTTGAAGGTCATTGTGTTAGTAACACAAATATTTGTAATACAAAGGCGTATTGTCATGGATACCATTGCTATCAACTAACATTTAATTAGCTGCGCGTGCTACTAGGGCTCATCACAGCCGGCAGCCGCCATCTTGTTGTAGATTAGTGAAAAATACTGGCTTCACGTCGCGGCCAACATGCTCTATCTATTGGTCTTATGTGATCGTTGGGTGGAGTCAATATTGTCATAGTCCAGTAACCAATCTTTTGTAATAGCATAGACTAACCAACACAAGTAGTCCATAGAGGTATATTTTTTAAGTTAAGCACTGAATGTTATTTAAATGGGTTTCATTACATCACCGAGTGAGTTTTTTTTCAACTTTACATCACTGGAGAAGTAAGGAAGTTGTATACATCACGCTTGGGATAGGGAAGTTTAACATGGCGGGTTATGTAAATACACAAATACCATTAGCTGCTTCCAAACAAAACAGCTGTTACAACACCACTTGCAACGTTGCCACTTCGAAGGCCGCGGCCGGGAGTTACAAGGCGGCCGTGTCTCCATTCATACTTGGCTTAAAATACCTACTTTGTATGGTCGCCATTTCAAATAAAAGTATTAAAGTATTAAAAGGTTTCAATACGAAAATTTAACGTACGGAAAGTTTGTTTAGCTATATAATAAATAAACAACATGTTATTTAGATAAACATGTTGCAAGTTATACTGTGGTTGTATTCAATGTTTTGAGATTATTCTTCAGTATAAATATTACTTTGAGTAAAACAATATACTTAGATTTTGGTTTTTTTTATTTCTAGGCTGTAAATGTACATTACAAGCTTTTTTTTATTTTTTCTCAAGGAATTAAACTATACACAAAGATTATTGACAAGTAAGTGACGTATGCGTTCCAAGAAACCGACTAGAATGAAAGAGGAATGAAAGGACACCTAAACGCATTATAACTACTACCCAACCATGGCAGCCGTGACACGGCAAATGAAATGACCGCTGGAATGGAATGAAGTGCTGAGTGCTGAGAGCACTGCTGGAATTAGGGTACAGTAGTTTCAGTGGAGGTAAATGGGGAGTGGGACGATAAAACATAACTCACCCTACGTCAAATTTATGTGCGTTACCCATCCTGGCCATCTAGGGTCAACCCCATTTCATGTTAAAAATGTCGAAACACTCAGCGATCAGTCTCCTGTCTAAATAGGTGCATATTCAATTCAATTTATTTATTTCCATTTTACTTATTGTAACGTCATTTTACATTAAGGTACAATTAAGTCTATATTAGAACTAAAATTAACAATAAATTTTACAACTTGACAACCACAAAAATGTGAAAAAACAATTCACCAATGAAAATATGACGAGACAAAACAATAATGAATTTTATAAATACAATATAATAACAACATCACCAAAATACACAGTATGGCCCTAAGCATATCTAGACATGAACAAAAGTAATCAAAATCAATGTTTACAACAGTATTTGTCATAAGCATTTACTAAATAATTTACAGAGAAGAGGCAACACAGATTGAGATTGAAGCGGAAAGTAGTCACGCTATGGAATGGTGAAAATCCAACACTGTGCCAACCTCGTCATCGACGCGCAAGAGGCTAGGAATAGTGCTTCGCTGCAATTAAATAAGAAATATGTTGTAGTGCTGCCAGCTACCACTCAAACATATCTTAGATCTTGCACGATATGTAATGTGGAATGGTATTCCTCCCATTAGCTCAAGACAATCGGTGTTTCCATTTACAATCTTCATGAGAAGCAGAGTCTGAAATTTTCCTCCGATCATCCAAACTGCGTAGATTGAACTAGCTGAGTTCTGCTTACGAGAGCATCGAATATACAGGGTGAGTTTTAATTGTCCCCCCAACTTTTTTCTACATTTTTTCAAATATCAATCCCAGACCACTTCCAAACATTGTTGGGTAGGAAGTACTTAATTTTGACAAGGTGGTCATTTCCGGCCGCCATCTTGGATCTGCCATATTGGATGCAAAATATTTTTTTCAAATGTAAAGGTTGGGTCGTGACCCATTATTTCGAACTACATTTCTACCCTGGTTACAATGCCGCAAACCGTTTTTAAAAATCTTGATTCATTCCAAAGTTACGAGGGTTTTTAAAACTTTATTTTTAGCCCATTTTAACATTGTGCATTTACAAACTAAGACCATAATCTCAAAATAGTGCTAGATAAAGATAAGTATACACTACCAGTCATTGTCGACCTATTTTCACTTGGTTATGACAGATGTATTTTATTCGGCCGCCATCTAGGATCCGCCAATTTGAAATGTGATAAATTATTTTAAACATGAAGGGGGTGTTGTGACCCATCATTTCAGATTACTTTTTTAAGCTGAACTCTTAGGGCTTAAGCTGCCCTACTAGGGGTAGATGTTGCTAGATATTCGCATTTCGTCATTCGCCTCGAACAGCGCTCGAGTGGAGTGGAGTGACTTGCCCTGTCCTTGTCCTACGCCGCTTTTATAGCGGTCTTGACGCTAGCGCAGTGCGTGGCTGCTTGGAGAACTAATGACCTCGCGCGGGCCATTTGAAATCGCCTAATCACTCGTTTTCTGATCTCGTAATATTTTTACCAATACAACTCCCCTAAATGATTTAACTACAGTATGTTTATCGCTATTATATAGGATGTCCCACGAAGGGGCTTAAACGTTTGATTTTATATTACGTGCCCATTCATGCACCGAACTTTTTTAAAATTTACACAGTTTACAAAGTAGGTTCTAAAAAAAATATTCTGGAAAAATTTCAACTCCCTAACCTTAGTATAAACAAAATGGCGGCATATTGAAAAATGCATGAATGGGCACGTAATATAAAATCAAACGCTTAAACCCCTTCGTGGGACACCCCGTATAATTTGCTGATTTAAATTGATATTTAGTGTTATTTACGGTTTTATCTTTTGATTTTTTTTTATTTGAAACATTCATGAGTTTTCATTAGACATTAAAGTTCAGAACAATCTAGTTTCAAACTAGTTCAGAGCACCTGCGTGAAAAGAAGTAGTTACTGTAATCAATTTAGTGAGCAAGGTGTGAGTTGTCATAGCCTGATTGTTTTGTTGGAAAATTGTTTGTAGCTGCAACCACATCAGTTACATGAATGCACTGAACTAAGTCATTGCCAAAAAAATGTGAATATCTCTGTCAGAAGTTTATCTTTGAGTAAATCAGTATTTACATCACTCATAAAAATCACATTTTTACTCAAAGGCGTACGTAGTTAAATAAATCTTCGAGTTCTATTAAAAATAATTCAAGGTTGCTGCCATGGTTTCATTTAAATGAGTTTTGTCTCTTCTCTCTTGAATTGTATGCATTCACACAGTCAAATGAAGTCTTAGGTTAGAGAGGATTTTTACTAATCATGTGATAAGATAAAAGATAAACGATTACTCTACTTCTCTATGTAACTGTTTCTTCCCCCACGACTGTCTGCTCAGCTGACTAGCAGAACGCTCAACTAACTGTTGAGAATAGGTTAGCTGTCAATTTCAGTTTCAGTATCCAGTCTCTGTCTCCACTCCAGTGTTTTATAAAGTTCAAAGTTTTTGGATTTATGTCATGTGGGGTGTGGGGTTATGTAAGGATATGACAAACTTTTTGTTTGAGATAATAATAATGTAACTTACGAGATTTAAAGAAATAACAGCATCTCTTTAGTCAGAATCTTTGTCTTTAAGGGTCTCATATTACATTTTATGAATTAGGTAGTCAGTTTTCAATCATATATTTTTATTCTATTATTGGTCCTCTTTAAAATTTGATTTGTTTATATTTTCCTATTCACCTCATAACTTACCATGTCTGGAAAATTTAAATTTGCCATTGACCGTGGTGGGACATTTACCGACATTTATGCTCAGTGTCCAAATGGTAAAATTCGTGTGATGAAACTGTTATCAGTTGATCCTGACAATTATCCTGATGCGCCTCGGGAAGGGATCCGAAGAATTTTGGAAGAGGTAAGATAATGCTTGTATTCATCAATCCTGTAATGTATTCATTAATACCTTTTGTAATTTTAACAGTTGATTTGTTTAAAATCTAATTAATAGTTGGCCCAAGTCTTAAAAGAGTCATTGGCGATTGTGATATATAGGCCTTTGGAAATTCACTATAAGCTAGGTCTAGTACATTCTTATGCCAAACATTTTACTTGACACATGCTGCCATACACTAAAAAAAACAAGCCTAAAAGTACTACACTAGGACATTGGTTTTACTATTTGAGTGTTAAGTTCTGATCACGCTGACCTTAACCTTAGTGTTGGGTTAAAATACAAACATAGTGGTGTCCCCATCTTAAATAATTGATATTGATATTGGTATTGATCAACTTCTGATTAGTAAAAGACATTGTCTCTCCGGCTATTCTCAATCTATTTACCCTGCTCTACAAGTCTTGTGTGGGACAGTCGTACCGTACTATTAGCATTTTACTAGAAACATAATGTATATCTTACGGGTTTTGCCTACTTACTGTCCTCGAGTCCCTCGTGAAAGTGCTAAAGTACATTTGACAAATACCTACCATTGGACTAATTGCTTTTTATCAAAATAAATTGGTATTTTGGATTTTGGTGTAGGACTAGTCAAACTAGAAAATACCCCCGCCGCAGCAAACCTGCCGAAAACTAAGCGAATTTCCATTTGCCTGAATTGATTTGAAATTAAATATATTTAAAAGTAACATTAGGTTTAACGAGTACCTAGGTTTGCTGCCACAGGAGAGGCTAATAAAATGGGATTTTTAGTAAAATATAGTAGCTTATTATAAAATAAATAAATTTGCCAAGTTTGATCAAAAATATATCAATGAACAAGTAAACTACAACAGTTTAGGACTACTTAATTCATCTCCATAACAATTTTTTTTTTATTGTCTCCATAACCAATAACTGTACAAAAACTATTTAGGATACTATTTGTTTTTTTAAGCTCTTTAAAATGGTCTGGAGTGAAATTGGGAAATTTTGTGTTTTTAAGGTTAAAAATGAGAAAAACCAATTTTTACCTCGTAAAACCCTGTTCTCATGGTCCGATCATGCTGGTTCGCGAACTCATTCAAGTTTATCCCGCCTTACACCTTCGAACCAAATTTCATCAAAATCGGGCAAAAATTACTCAAGTTATCCCGTTTACGGACGTATATAAATCTATATAATATACAAAAATTTGAACGAATAGTGTTTTAGGCCTTTAGGAACATCAAAATGAAAAAGTATATCAGTCCCGGTTCCAGGTCTCACTGTGCCTCCTACGGTTATAACTACTTCCCTATAGGGAAATTCGCTAAAAAAGCATAAGAAAAAAAATATGGTCAAAGAGCATTTAGCTCGCTCTGACATTTTTAGGACGTCTAGTAACTCATCATCAAAACTGCAGGGTCATATTATTTCCCCGATTGCGGACACAGTGGTTGCCTTGGCCTGGAAGGGGGCCTCACTAGAGCCTCAAAGGAATTTTTTTCTCTTGAAAATGAATTTCACCGATGGTCTTAATTTTTTGATGTTTCTGCCATTCTGCAAGAAGTTAACATTTTTGCTGTTAACGCAGGGGACTCTCACGATTTTGCAGTGGCTGAAGACGATTTTGTTTTGTGTTCACGGTTTTTCCACTACCGGTACCTATTGCAGTTAGTAGTTTAGCCAACTATGGTATTTATAGCATAACAATTATTTTTTGAGCAACACTTACTTAACAAACAACTTTTTTTGTCACAAACTGATTTCGAAAAGAGACATGAAGGTCAATATTGACTTGATCCGAAGTAAACAAGTCTGGTTCTCAGACCCCTTATATTATTATAAAAATATAATGTAATTATTTATTAGCTGGTCTCCTAGCCTAGATCCATTCCCCGATTGTATTGTCAAAATGTAAGGATCAAGTTAATTGAGTTGAATCAGTACCCTGTGTGTATTTCTAAACCTCCTAAACTTTAGCCAACAAAGACTCATAATAGAGGGTCTCTCTGATGTGAACCACCGGCACCACGGGCTTACAGATTCCTAATAGGGCCCTGCGAAACTGCAAATAAAATATATGCCATAGCTCGCCATACTGCTTGCTGAATGCGGAATGGAGTATAGGAGACAGCACTGCAATCCTGGGTTCGAATCCAGTTTAGATCAGATCTGTTGTACAACTCATGAGGTGTTCCCTTGTTGACAGACTTTAGTGGAAGAGGTCCTCCTCAAGTATAAAAATGTAAACTGCTGGTGTGAATGATCCCTTTGTAACTTAAGTTTCACTCCTTATCATGCATTTAACTATTTATTTTAACCCACTTTGTGTCTATGTGCCCATCTGGCACTTGTTTTAAAAGAAAATCATGACAGAACTTTAGAGCTTTTAATGGTAAACAAACTTGAGCCTTGTTATCTAAATGTTCATGACATTTTGTTTACTGAACACACGAGAGCTACCTTGAAACTCTCAAGAAATGCATACATTGTATATAATTCTTACAACCTTTTTGTACCAGTACCTCAATTTAAACATCCCTTTTCCTTTTATAATATAATGTACAACAAATAGTGGTGTTTAAAACTTAAACTTTTTTACCCATATGCTAGCTAAACGTGAATTTTCATTGAAATCATTGGTGTTTTAATAGGCCTAAATACATCACAACAAACACACATTTTTAAGGGATGTTATTTGATCAATTTCTTATAGTTATCTATCTTATAGTTATCTATATCATTCAATAAAAAATGATTGACTGAATTAAATGCCAAAATGTATTTTTACTATAGGCTACTAAAAATATATAGGCCTACTGAGATATACTTCAATATATAATGGTACTAAACTATTTGTTTTTTAAGCTCTAAACAATGGCATAAAAAGGAAACTTCCATTTTATGTTTTGTGCGTGAAAATGAGAAAACCCCTTTTTTACCCCTTAAAACCTCCTTCCCATATTCCGATCATGTTAGTTTGAAAACTCGTTTGAATAAATGTTGCTTTACACGTTTTATCAATTTTAATAAAAAACCAGATGATTTTTACTCAAGTTATCGTGCTAATGGACACATTTTTGGCCCCTTTGGCCATCAAAACGTAACGCTATTCAGTCCTCGGGTCTACGGCAATAGCTTATTCCCTCCCTACTGTAGGCCTATATGGGAAATTCACCAAAAATTATGTTCTTTTAAAAAAAGCGTACTTGCATCTCATCAATTATATCAAAAGCAATTGCTCATTTTTGGCAATAGCTCCTTTACCATTAGGAAATTTGCTAAAATAATGCAAGAAAAACATACATACAAATCAACACAACTATACTGTACACATCAATAATATATAATTCTGTAAGACCAGAAAATTGTGGACGTCTGGTAAGTCGCAGAAAGGTGGGATTGGTCTTAAATTAAAGGTCTTGACCCCAGGGACTCGGGAAAAATAGCTGAATTCCCATAAAGCTACCAGAAAACGTGATATAACGTAAAATATCCACCATAAGAAAAGCGTGGGGGCTAAAAAACGTCTGCATTCTAATCAGCTTTTGCTTATTTATTTGTAATGTTTACATTTATTCCGAAAGTCAATTTTGTTAATAATGTTTCAAAATGAAATGTATTCGTTTAATTTTTTTGTTTTCCGTTTTTATAATGAGTGAAGTAACTAGACAGGGTAGGGGAAGACCTGAAAGATGTGGAAGAGTATCCAGGAATTCAACTAACACAAGAAATGCTGAAACAGAACGTCATGTAAGGTATGAATATGAAAGAAATCCACAAGCTCATTTACAACCTGCCTTCAGAACGATGCTGGAAAATGAGTTGAGTGTTGTTTCTCACAATATATGTCCTCTTAACAGCACTTGCATGCGTTGTGGTGCATTTCACTTTGCAGAGGAGGACACAAATGGACATTACGACACATGTTGCCACAATTGACCCATTAACATGCCACAACCACAATTAAATGACAAACTAAAAGTAATGTTTTTACATGATTCTAAATTAATAAAAAACACAAGGAAATACAATAGTGCAATGGCTTTTGCGTCGCTTTCCGCTACTCAAAAAGAGATTCCGGGAAATGGGCCTTATTGTTTTAAAATTCAGGGGCAAATTCATAGATATATTTCTGACTTACTACCGCAAAATGGGGAGTTGCCTTCATATGGACAATTGTGTCCAAGTTAGGGGCTATGGCCCCTACAGGCCGCTAAGTTATAAATTAATTCTATTTTCTGTTAAAGATGTATTACACATGTGTCCTCAAACATTTCTTGCCAATAAAATAACAACCTTTATGTCTGGTTTACTCAGTGTTTATTTGTGGCCATTGCAATCAATTTTGTCAAATATGTAACCGCATGAACAAGTTGATGGGAAGTCAAGGCCATTTTAATCAAAAAGGTCAATTTGCCCAAACTTCTCGGATACCCAAGTAGTGGGGGACTGTGTGGGATAAAATAAATTAAAATCAAAATTAAATTGCCTTTAGAGACAAAAGCTCTAATGCATTTTGTTACTTTACTTATGCTACAATAAAGTATAAGTTTAAATTCCAGTATGTTATGTCATGACTTGCTAAAGATGTAAATTATGTGTATAGTTTTTTTATTAGTAGACTAAACTTAGAAATAGTAGTATGAGCTGTAATATAATACCCCCGCCGCAGCCGCAGCAAACCTGCAGACTAAGCAAATTTCCATTTGTTTGTTCGGAATAGGTTTTCAATTAAATTTTAATTATCAATTATTTAAGATGGGGACTCCACTATGTGCATATTTTAACCCAAATATGAGTAAAGAAGAATGAGTGTAGGATGAGTGACGCGATCTTGTAGTCTTGTTAGTGACTAAGGCCGACATGTTCCTTACAGTATAATATTAGGTTTAACGAGTACCTAGTTTTGCTGCTACAAGGAAACTAATAAAGTGTGTTTTTTAGTAAAATATCAATAGTAAAATATCCATAAACAAGCAAACTACAACATTATACAATATTCTCCATAAGAATAACATGGGAATTTTAAATTTAACATTGTATGTAGTTTAAAAACAATATGTAGTACCATAGGCTAAAGGAGTATGTTTTATCTCTAGTAGTACATAACACCTTGCATTAACTAAAGTTCTGGCTATAAAAAAATGTGTGATATGACACAAGTGTTTCCCATTGCTCAAGCAAAGAAGCAAAATGCTAGGTAAAAAATGTAATGTCTGACTGTTTTATAGTCTAGGAATCTTAAAATTGCAAAATTTTCAGGAGACCGGAATATTGATGCCTTCTTCAGAGAAGATTGACGGCTCGTTGATTGAATGGATAAGAATGGGAACTACAGTGGCAACCAACGCCCTCCTGGAACGCAAGGGAGAGCGGATGGCTCTATTGGTTACCAAAGGATTTAAGGACGTTTTGTTCATAGGCAACCAAGCTAGGCCAAAGATATTTGACTTGGTAAGTAGCTTTTGTTTGACATTGCTTATTTGAATGGTTATCAAAATATGTTTTTGAAATATCTTGGTAATTGTGATCAGTTATTAAGAAATTTGGTTAAAATACTTTGATTATTTAAAACATTATTTGACACATGCTTTAATATGTTATGTTGATTATCATAATGAGGAGATACAATTTTATCTTAATTCTATGGTTATTCAAATTACTCGTTACAACCTAACACTTGAACCTAGAACAGTAATTTTTATTGCAAACCTAAGACTGAGTCTGTGTCTGTGTTGTTGTTGTTGTTAACTTTGAGATAAAAATGTTCCTTTTTAGGCTGGTTATATAAAGTTTCAGGCCTTATTGATGAATGATAATTTGTCTCTTCCTTCCACATATAACCACCATTTAGGCCTACTGAATATGTATTTTTGTCATTACTGAAACACTTTCACAGAGCCACTTTCAGGTCATTAGATGCTACCATTAAAATTCATAATGGGTCAATCTAGAATCCAGTCAATAGTCAATAATTAATAATGAAAAAAGTTAAAAGTTATTGTTATTCGGCATATACAATCTTGCAAAAGACATGGTCAGGTAATTTTATGCGTGGTTCTAACTAACTATTGTTGTTGTTGTTGTTCCGCAGGAGATTGTGATGCCAGGAGTGTTGTATGAGGAAGTGATCGAGGTAGACTGTCGAGTCATTCCTGCCTTGGATGACAAATGCCAACTCAAACATCAATACCCTCGGGTGGTGGGAAAAACTGGGGAACCGTTCCTTATAACCAAAACTCTGAATGAGAATGAACTGTTGAAACAGTTGGCAGAACTGAGGGAGAGGGGAATCAAGAGTTTGGCTGTTGTACTCATGCATTCTTACACGTTAGTAGCCTACAGTAGAACTCCAATCATCTGGATGGATTTGGATTGGACCCATCCGGACATTTAAAATCTGGATGCAATAGCAACGATACAAAACTATAATACACTTGCTGCATTGGACACAATCAGCACACTTAATATGTGACAAATTACTGCAAACTACAATGAACTAAATTTTTCTGGCCAAATTTATTCTTTTAGCGAATTTCCCACATAGGGAATTTAAGCTATTACCGTAGTACTCATGGTAAGACCTGGACCCGGGACCGATTTACTTTTTCGTTTTGAGGTCCCTAGAGACCAAAAGCACCATCCGTTTAGATTCATATATATATATTTATATATAGGTACGGTATATATATTTATATATGTGTCCTTTAGTGCGATAACTCAAGCAAAAATCATCCGATTTTGATGAAATTTGGTACAAACGTGTAAACCTATGTTTATTCGAACGAGTTCCCGAACCAGCATGATCGGACTATGGGAACAGGGGTTTATGGGGCAAAAATTGGTTTTTCCCATTTTTGACCCAATAAACTAAAAATTTAGCATTTTCTTTCCAAACCATTTTGTAGAGCTTAAAAAAACAAATATATTAGTACATTGAAGCGTTATTATGCGCCTAATGGTTACGGAGAAAATTCCAAAAATCTGTAAATTTAAAATTCCCATGTTATTCTTATGGAGAACTAGCTGTAACCCACGGGCTTTGCCCCATTTAACTTCTTAATTTTCAAGATGATCTCGTTCGCATGGCTCAATCATGTCCTGACGTCCTGGTTGAAGTTCGTTCGCTACGCTCACTCACTTTTAGGTTAGAGCTCGTTCGCTGCGCTCACTTGCCTTCAGGTTAGCTTGTTCGCTACGCTAACTCGCCTCCAGGTTGAAGTTTGTTTGCTACGCTCACTCACCTTTTGGTTGCAAATTAGCTGTTGTCATAAATGTAAAAGAAATAATAGTGCTGCACCCTGTTGGTAATCCTTGTAACTTTAATGCTATTGAACATCATAGAACAGAACCAACTTGTTTAATTGAAACAGCTGTTAAGATTCATTAATTCCATTTAAATATGAGTACTCATAAGGTTAACATGGGAAACTCCAGAGCCACTGGGGCGGAGCCCAGAGGTCGGAGGGTAAAATCCTCTCTTAGTGAGCGTCTACTACCCAAAAGGAAGATGCCTGCCAAGTTTCAGGTTCCTAGGTCTTATGGTTTCTGAGATTTCGTGATGAGTGAGTGAGTCAGTGGTATTTGAGCTTTATGTATATAGATAAGTAAGCTGTTGTAGTTTGCTTGTTTATGATCATATTTTGATCAAATTTTGAAAATGCATTAATTTCATACTTAACTACTAACATTTTACAAATAACACCTTTTTACCCTCCCTGTTGTAGCAAACCTAAGTACTCATCCTACTAATATTATAAATGAGAAAGTTTGGATGTATGGATGTATGTAAGTTTGTGACAAGTAAACACAAAAAATACTGGTCGGATTGGGCTAAAATTTAGTGTGATAATAGCTCACATTCCCGATTAACATATAGACGCATTCTTATCTCAAAAGTTCTTTCGGGCTCCGCCTCAGTGGCTCTGGAGTTTCCCATGTTAACCTTATGAGTATTCATATTTAAAAAGAATAAAAGCATTTTATCAGCTGTTTAAGTTGGTTCTATGATATTAAATATAATTAACAAGTTATAAGGTTTACCAACAGGGTGCAGTACTATTAAATTTAATATAAAACTTCATTATAGATTATTTTTTTATTTTTTATTTATGTCAATGGATACTAAAGTGCAGCCGAATTTTGTTTCTAAAAGCGTTAGTGGATGTGTAACTTTTTTATTCAACAAATGTAAAGATCAAAATGTTTCTATTTTGTGTCCTCTTCCCGTTGCAAAGCACGGGTACAGCAGCTAGTCTATATATAAAGCCAAAAGTACCCATGAACATTTGAGAAAACTACAAGTCACACCCCCATAAACCATATAGTTAAAATGTTCGTTATGACGAGAAACCTTGCTCAAAACTACCCATTATTTCATAAATTGCCCTATAAGGTCGTAATTGCTTACCAAAGGGAACTTTCCATTTACCTAATGTTAAAAATACCTCAGCTGTTATTATTTGTTTGTATTACCATTACTGTATTCTGTTTTGTTTATTTCAGCTTAACTTAACCAATCAATATAATACCTATGTAGTAAAACGGGGTGGAGCCTGTGGGTAACAGCTAGTTAAACTAATCTATATATTAATTTGAAACTGTTTTTCTTTGTGACAGCTAATTTGAGAGAACGGCTGGGCGTTGAAACTCGGTAGAGGTGTCTAAAGAAAGGGCTTGGTCTGTAGATGAGCCATCAAAAGAGAAACGTGGTAAATTCCCTTGGGGCTCTGCCCCAGTGGCCTTTAAATTCCCATCCCATGTTATTCTTATGGAGGAAAAACGGGATTTTGTCACAGCTAATTTCAGAGAACGGCTGGGCATAGAAACTTGGTACGGGTCTCTAAAGAAAGGTCTTGGTCTGTAGATGAGCCATCAAAAGAGAAACGAGGTAAATTCCCTTGGGACTCTGCTCCAGAGGCCTTTAAAGTCCCCTCAGCAGATTTGTTTACAATATGCCCATATGTATAATTTTACACTACTTTTTAATGAAACAGCTGTTAATATTTAAATTTTGATTTACTGAATTTGTCAAAATGAAGTATTTGCAATAGTATATTTCATTACTAGGACCGAAAGTGGCATTTTCCGTCGCGCGCCCAAGTTTTTGTGTGAGGCGAAGCCGAACACAGGGAACCCCAATTTCACGTGCGAGGCGAAGCCGAGTATGTGAGAGCTATTTTCACGTACGAGGCGAAGCCGAGGACGGGAATAATGGAGCAAGTGCCGGATAATAACTTTCGGTACGAGTTATGAACGATACTTTTCATCACGACGCAAAAATACACAAACACAGAATAGCAGACCTCAGTATATTAAAACAATTTGATTTCTCAATTAATTTGATTGAACATCAAAATTAAATAAAATCTTCTAAAAAGAAACCTACGTATATTTCTCAATAAATTTTGTTTAAACATCAAAATAAAAGAATAACACAACTTTTAAAAATACATACAGCTGATTAAAATCATTAAATTAAACCGTAACAAAACACTGGCGCGCGTAGTGAATAAATGGAGAACTAATTGAGAGCGAGGGAAAGTAAATTTAGAGCGAGGGAAAATCAGCTGATCGATTTTCCCTCGCCCTAAATTAGAGCTTGGGAAACGACTACTTTCATTGATATCAGGTGTTATCGAAAATAGTTACTTTCGTTAAGGAGTGATGAAAAGGTTTTTTCTGATTTTAAAATCGATTTCCTTCTGCATCGTGTCATGTTTTGCAATAAGCCTATGATGTTGTAATGTTGTAATGTTATAATGTGCGATCCAAATCAGTGGAAAATCCTAATATCACAGTAACTCTTAAAATTATTTCTTATGGAGTTAACTTATGTCTATTGTATGGGTTGGTTTCTGCCTTTTTTACCACTTCTTGGAGATTGTACGTAGGCGTGTTGCACGTAGATGATGTTCTTTGGCGTATTGCATCTGTAGACGATACTTGGGTTGGTGTAATTATTACAATGGGAAAAAAGCGAGAAATCCTGGACATTTTGATATCTTAGGCCTACTAAAAATAAAACTGAATTAGAAGAAATATAAATAATGTTTTTTTTTCTTCATTTATAATCGTTATTATAGAGAACCTAACGGGCAAGTGGGAAACATTTGTAGAAAACTCTAAAAAACAAGATTAGCTATTGAAAAAGATAAGATATTTACAAACAATTTTGATTATATCTAACTGTTGTGTACATCGTGAGTATTTCCATACCTAATATTTGAGTCGACTTTTATAAAGTCTTTGGAAATTATGACTGTTATTCGTTTTAAAATAAGGCCTGTAAAGCTTCGTAATTGCTCGAATTCGAGCAACAGGTACACTAGTGTTATTTAAATAGGGATATTTTTAAGGAGACATTTTAGTGTAAATCCAATCAGGCAAATGGAAATTCGCTTAGTCTGCAGGTTTGCTGCGGCGGGGTTATTTCTTCTTGAGGTGATCTGGATTGTAATGGGCTATCTGGGCAAATGGAATTCAGATAATTGGAGTTCTACTAACTGCATTGTACTTATAATTGTAACTAGTAGTCAGTAAAACCATAGATAAATCATACTCCCTAGTAGATTTGTCATCCTTATAGAACAGCTGAAGCCAATTTTATTGTTAGTTCTGTACGTTCAACTGTAGAGGTTATGTTTTGTTTACAATTTGTTTCTTGTTATTTCAGTAATTTAAAACCTCATTTAACCAAATAAAACTATTCAACCATAAACAATAACTGGTCTCCTAGTTATATAACCAAATAGTTAAGCACAAATCATGAAAATAACCCTAAAATAATAGAAACAAAATGTTGTCTACCCCAGCGATCAGTGTGGACGTACATGAACTAGACACAAAAAACAGGCTTCAAAATTTACAATGGGATGAGGAGTCTACTTGTGGTGTTGCTTAAGCGGCCCACACACTAGCGCGCATGTGCCTTCCGTGGCTCGTGATGAGGTGAATGCGAGCGGCTCTAGGCACATGTGCGATTCAAATGGTAACCACACACTACAGACACATGCGCGCGCACCACCGTCTTTGACGATGATAAAAGTGGGCTATAACAGCAAATCCAACAGTTATATTGAAACCATTCTAATAAACTCAATTGTATCTTCACCATGTTATTTTTTACTATTTATTTTGTAGTTTAAAGTTTATTTTGTATTTTTTAACAAGGATATTTTTTTAAATTGCAAGCAAAACTGGACTAAATTAGACTTTAGAGTATGAGGGTTATAGACTTAGATTTAATTAGTTTAATTAGTTCTAATTAATTGGTTCACAACGTTATGAAGCTCTCAAAGAGTTAATTTTAGTCTTCACAAACTAAATCGTCAGTGTCAGGAAACACTCCTTTGCATTTTGTTATCAATAGCTACTTAATTTCTTTTCACATTTATTTGTTTGAATAGCACACTTTTCACGTCCCAATAACTGTAAAGCTCAACAAACTCAGACCAAAACTTTCTTAAGTCATTAAAGGACATCTTAACCGCACAACAAAGAAGTCCATAACCAAACAAGGACAAATAAAATACAACACTTGGGGCAGTGAATGTTACACGGTGCCACGCAGGCGCAGACCTTGTAGTTCCCGATTTACAGTATATGCAGCTATGGTTTTTACTGCTAGTTCGTGAACATGTGCCTCGGTTTCCCACAGACTGGCGCGCATCGTAACAAGCTCGCGCACTTGTGACGATGCTCGAAGGTCCGGCGGCAGGCACCAGGCACCTCGCATGCGCGTCGTGAGCATGGGCACATTTACCCACACATTGAGGCGCATGTGCGTCGAGCTGTTCGCGCGTCACATGTGCGCGCACAAGCGCCCCAGTGTGTGGGCCGCTTTAGTCTATGGTAAAACTTCTCAGGTCATATTCTTTAGTCAAATTAAGTGGTTTCTGTCAGTTTAATTCCTAAGCTATCCTGTCAAAGTTCTTAAGCTTTGTAATGCATTGGTTAATTTAATTTTGTTGTCAAAGATTATCAATGATCAATTATTTATGATTGGAACGCCACTATGTGCGTATTTTAACCCAAACATGAGTGAAGGAAGAGTGGCGCAATCTTTTAGTCTTGTTAGTGACTAAGGCCGACATGTTCCTTAGACACGGCTGTTAATTAATAGCCCATACAGCTATTGGCAACTAAGGGACTTACAGTTTATAGTGGAACCCAAAACACATTTTTTCCTTGTAATTAACGAATTGGTCTAATTATCAGGATAGTACTGCGGATAGTCATAGTACTCACTAGTGCGGATGTTAATCCACACCAGGGAACATCGCATCGACAGTGCAATTCGTGACCTCCTAGTAGGTGGATTACAGGACGACGCCACCCATCCCAGTCCAATTAATCCAAAAGATGGTGTAAATACTATCAGTGCTTGATTAATAAAATTTGAGTTACAGGAACTGAAACCTACAGCTCCTCACTCTTATCTAACATCACGTTTTCTCCATAGGAAATCAAGCTAGCCTACAGTATTTAATTTTAAATAGCAGCAAAACAGTACAGTATTAGTTTTAACTACGCATTAGTTTAAAATTATATTAGTTTCAAAAACGCAACAGTATTAGTTTGTAATTTCTCTTGAGAAAGTCTCAGAACTTAATTCCCTCTCATTTCAAGTTTTGAATACAATCACATAAACCTTTCTATCAAGGCCGTACTTAAAAACTACTCACATCAGCAACTTCCCTCTATTTCGATTCTTAGGTGGCTGGAGCTTAGAAATATTTGTGGTATTGATAAACTCGACTGTTTCTTTTCGAAGATCTAAACGGCGAATAAACCTAGGGAGGACTAAGAAACAAGCTAATAAATAATTTAAAAAATAAAAACAATAGAAGTTTGCATGGCAAACTTGTTTACTTCAGGGTAGAGTGAGAAATGTTGACCTGCAGATCACAAGTGAAAATTGAGTTGCTTTGTTAAGTATTAAATATCATACAATAATAGGTTAAAACAACTTTTGCAATCGGTAAAATTGTCGACATCTCTGATCACGGAGCAATCGTTATTGTCTCCTGCGAATACGACAAAATTGTGAACATCTTCAGCGTTTGTGGGAACATTATCTCACGGGAAAAAATCTAGCACATCTTTTACGATCCCCTGCAAAATAGTGAAGATATTGCTCGGTTGTGGAAACATCATTATTGTCTTTGGCCACAACAAAATCGCTAGTGAGTCTTTAAAGTACAGAGAACTGTCTAAACTCTAGTTTGTTTTGTCATAATTCAGATCCTTTTATTTGTGATTGATAATTTCCTGTTTTGTTCACCACAGAATCTGTAGTAAACATCCTACTATCCATTTTAACATATTTCAAGGATTTATCCATTCCCTAGGTGTGTAGAAGATGAACTACTTGTAGGTAAACTGGCTGACCAATCTGGTTTTGACCATGTTTCCCTCTCACACCAGATCATGCCGATGGTGCGGATTGTTCCTCGTGGCTTCACAGCGTGTGCGGATGCCTATTTAACTCCTCACATCAAGAAATACGTTCAGGTAATGTGTACGGGTTTTGTTTTTTACAACTTTTTTTTAACATATTTGAGAATTAATCTGGTATTTTTTTGTGTATTTAAATTTATATAGTAGATACCAGTTTTACAAATAATTTTAAGGTAAACCCTTTTCACTTTCCTATAGGACTATTTGCGAACCAATGTTATTTACATGTTGAATTTATTAAGTTGTCTTCCCTCATGATTTAGAATCCATACTCACTGGTGTGACTTGTCGTTTTACCTATACAAGTAGATGAATTGCTTAGACAACCTTCTTGATGGCCCCTGCAGACTATCTGCATGAAACACTAACATAAGGATGACTCAGCGGCCGGTCTAGTACACAACAGATGTTACGAGATCAGTAATGCCAACCCATCAATCAGAAATTTACCACAAAAAATAAAAACATTTATACATTAGTAATAGGCCTATTGATTAATGGCCAAAAAACAGCCAAGAAACAAATTTAAAATATCATAATGGACGTTAAAATTTTTTTTTTACGTATATGTGCGTACGCTTGTAACCTTCAGATTGAGTTGCGTATAAAAATGTCCAACGCTTGCAACTGAATATGTCCAACACTCGCAACTGAATAGTGTTGTTGATGTATACTCACAATGCTCAGGAATGGTTAATTGCTGCAAACGGTGTGTAGCCACTTTACAAAGAATAGCTGTACAAATATCACAAGCATTATACAAGTGCTCTATTTTTTTCAAAAGTTTTAAAATTAAAATCAATACAATACTGTTATATTGGTTTCGGGCAAGCAATAAAACACTTAAATTCGAAATGAAAACCTTTGTTATAGTATGTAATATAATTTTCTTGTTTAGTTCTTAAAACTAGAGACAAATTGTTTTGTAAAAGTCTCTGTTTTTTGTATATTATAATTTATCTTCTCGTGGCCTGTTAAAACCAAATTTATGAACAATCATTAATCATACTTCCCACCTATGGTAAATAACTACGATTAGGTCTAAAACTTTGAAGGCACTTGAGATAAAACATGTAATTCAACTGTTAAATAGAAATATGTTTCTTTGAAAACGGTTCTGGATAATGCACATGATTGTAATTGGGATACCGTAAACCAAGCTTTACTGTACCGGTATTTAGTTTAGTAGTAAATTAGTAGTTTAACCATGTAGTTTTCATTTTAGGGTTTTGCATCTGGGTTCAAAGATGAGTTGAAAGGTGTGAATGTTTTATTCATGCAAAGTGATGGAGGACTTACCCCGATGGATATGTAAGTAACGCAGACGTTTGTGTTTTTTGAGATATTTTTGTAGCCCTTGTAGGTGTTGAAACTTACCTCAACCTAACTAACCTTTGAAAAAAACTGAAACACGCAATTGTTACTACATTCCAAAATTATCATAAGTAAATCAATTAATCTATAGATATAAAAAATATATATGTAAAAATAAATTACCTTGACCTTGAATGTATTTATAAATTGATCAACTTGATAAATGGGCTGTTTAATTAATGACTCAATTAATTAATTGGGGATTCAATTTATTAGATGATACACAGGTAACAAAATCAACAACCTTTTGATCTACAAACACTAACTTAACTAATAGGACGAGGTGTGGAGGAGGGGAATTGGGGTAGCTTAAAGTGAGACCAGGTAATCCTGAAGGGATATGACGCCTGTTGAAACTCAGGGTTATGAACTGAAAACTTACTCTCATTTCTCATTCTCTCAATAACATTGTTGAAACTTGAAGGATTCCAAACCATCAGAAGATAGTACAAAGATGAACATACACTGTTTGTACAAAATAAGTAAGCTGCACTACTTCACAGGTCAAAAAAGGAACACAATAATAACATCTATTCATTTCAAAGAGCCTTGGACAAACAGATTGTATATTGTAGCCAAACGAAAAAAGAGGAAGTCTGAACCAGCTAAAGTTTAATTGAACCAGGCCAAGAGGTAGTCTAATTTAGTTGAAGGCCTAGTAGTGTTTACTCTCAAGCTCACAAAATAAAAATGAAGGAAACCATGCAAGTGTTGACTTTCAGGTTCAATGGTTCCCGTGCAGTGTTGTCAGGCCCGGCAGGCGGTGTGGTGGGCTACGCAGTGACGACCCCCGGACCAGACCCTGTGATAGGCTTTGACATGGGCGGCACATCCACTGACGTCAGTAGATACGCAGGAACTTATGAACATGTGTTTGAGAGTACCACTGCCGGAGTCACTATTCAGGTGATCTAAAAACTTGAGTTGAACGCTGATTTTTCAATTTGTTGTTCCAATGATTACTTTTTTTACTATTTTTGTTTCTGTTTCCCGGGGAGGTGAAAGAGCACTTGCATCAAAACTTGAAACTATCATGCTTGTACTGTAAACTTACTTCCCGGCCTTGTGATGTAATATACTGTAATGAGATTATATATTGCAGGCACCTCAGCTTGATGTAAACACCGTAGCAGCTGGTGGAGGATCCTGCTTGTTTTTCCGCTCAGGTCTGTTTGTTGTGGGTCCCGAGAGTGCAGGGGCCCACCCAGGGCCCGTGTGCTACTGCAAGGGGGGCCCGCTGACTGTCACCGACGCTAACCTCGTACTTGGCAGACTCTTGCCTCACTACTTCCCTAAGATCTTCGGTCCTGAAGGCAAACGACCATTGGACAAGGACGCCACTGTCAGAGAGTTCACAAAACTTACACAAGAGGTTAGACATTTTTATATGGTGTTATGCAATTCTACCACTTCAAGACTAACTTGATTATTGAATATTAATATTGTTCCCTATCAGCCATCACACTCATGTATTAGTGGCATCGGGTTACCTGGTAGGGAAGATGCTAATGTAGACTTCACCACTGTATAATATGAAGTTTAAACGGTATACACTTTGGAATTATTAATTTCTATTCATTTATGAATAAGTTCTACTTTCAAATTAAAATTTATGTACTAGGGTATATTGGTCTTTGAAATTCTGGAAGTTACCGAAAACTAGAAAAGTAACCAAATTTTATCTAAGGTCTTTTAAGCAACAGATTTTATTACAGTAAATCTTAATACCCCCACAGCATCGAACCTGCAGACTAATCAAATTTCCATTTTCCTGACTGGATTTCTGCTAAAATATTCCCTTAAAATTGTCAGATCTATTTCCTATTTAAATAACATTAATTTTAATGAGTACTTAGGTTTGCTGCTACAGGGAAGGTATTGAGTTGTGTTTTTTTATTGAAATGTTGATTGCGTAGTATGAAATAAACAAAATTGACAAATTTGATTAAAGTATATCCATAAACAAGCACACTACAATAGTTTATTTAATACCCATAAGAATAACACCGGAATTTAAAATTTTAGCCTATAAGTTTTTGAATTATCTCTGTAACTATTTGGCATACAACAACGCTTCAACATACAAAATGATTTATTTTTTTAAGCTCTACAAAATGCTTTGGGAAGAAATTGTGAAATTTTGTGTTTTTAGGGTAAAAAATGTGAAAACTGAAAACCCAATTTTTATGCCATTAAACCCCCCATAAACCCCCCGTTTTCATAGTTCGACCATGCTGGTTCGCGAACTCGTTAGAATAAACGTAGGTTTACTCGTTTGTACCAAATTTCATCAAAATCGGATCATTTTTGCGATTCATTATCGCGCTAACGGACACACACACATATGTAATTTGAACGGAGGGTGTTTTTGGCCTCTGGGGACCTCAAAACGAAAAAGTAAATCGGTCCTGGGTCTAGGTCTTGCCATGAGACCTACGTTAATAGCTTATTCCCTATATAGGGAAATTCCCTACAAATCAAATGATAGGCCAATATTAAAAAAAAAATAAATAAATAAAATCAGTAGATTTTTATTTTTTGTTTGCCTTTAACTTACAATAGAAACAAACATCAGACAGTGATATGATCTATTATATAGTCCTAAATTGTATGTCAAGTAAAAATAAAAATAAATTATATATTGCTATAGGTTATATTCTATATCGTCGAATAATTCATGCCGTGGAATTTCATATGCCACGTTTGAAAACATATTGGCTTGTGACATTTTTGCTCTAAGAAGACTCTGTGGTGTCGTCTCGCAAAATGTAGTTAGAACAGCTTACTTTGGTTTATTTCATGCTAAGATTACTTATGTTTGATTGTCTGGGGCAGTGCCTCAGCATCAAAAGATGTTTTCATCCTACAAAAACGTGCCGTTCGAATCATTGCAGGAGGTCATTATAAAACTCACTGTAAACCATGGTTTGTTCATTTAAAAATTTTAACTCTTTATTCTGCCTTTATTCTGCAAAACTTGCTATTCATTAAAGATCAACCAGATTTAGTGCATAATAATGACGTGCACTCTTACAACACTAGAATAAGACATGACTTACAATTGCCTTATGTTAGATTAAGTAAATCAATGAAAAAGCCATCTGTACTAGCCATAAGGTTATTTAATAAGCTACCCCTTGCTATTAGGGACATGAACATTATTAAATTTAAAACTGTTGTAATTAGGTTCTTACTTGCAAATGCATTCTATTCAATTGATGAATATTTGACAAAAAAATTGACTTGCAATGATTTTGTGTAAGATGGGTGAGCCCTTTGTTCAATTCATTATTGTATAGATTATATATTGTAACCTGACATATCCAATGTATTCAAAAGAATATCTAATGGAAATAAAGATCTTATCTTATTAAACCACTGTCATTGTAATCAACTTACAGTGTCTGAACTTTAAGGAATTTACTCTACTATATCAGACATGCTACACATGATAAAGAAAATCTTTTTTCCAAGACATCTAAAAAAAGTTACATGTTATTATTGAAACTGGTAGGCACGTGTAAAATTTGAAAACTGTTTTTTTTTTTGCTCGTTAGGCTACTGATATTGATAACTTTGTAAACACTGAAACATATTGTATTTCTCTAGATCAACAAATTCCTGGAGACCCAAAAGCACAGTCCAGAGTCGATGACTGTAGAGGAAGTAGCAATGGGCTTCATAAGAGTGGCCAACGAGGCCATGTGTAGACCAATCAGGGCTCTGACTCAGGTGAGAGAAATTCACAAGTATTTGTTAGGGATGGATAATGTTTAGACTCATAACAGTTTGTCTTTTTGTTTGGCGCAACACATAAATGAGTTTACCGATTTAATCCACAAGCAAACTCAGAAAGAAAACTGTCATGTAAAGGAGCCTCCTTGCAGAACACCTTTGTCAAGAAACTAATAAAAGTCCATTAAAAAATAAACTGACAGACTAACAGCTAGAGGAAGCTTACACTGAAATAGAGTTAACTGAACATGACTTATATATTAAATTTTTTCTATGTTTGTAAATCTTAACTTAAATAAATATTTTGTGACTCTTGCACTGTTCTCCATGAGCATGCAAATAATTGTTCTTTGTGCAACTAGTAAACTGAATGGCATTTTTTTAAACAAGAGAAAATGTTTGATGCATGAGACTTGCCTAATTTGTTGTCATACAGAGTGAGGAAACGTAGTAGGCAAAGTAAAATAATGAGAAATATGCTGGTTTTCAAACAAATTCCTGTGAATAAAATGCCACTTTGTATAACTCAACTGTAAATAATGAATCTTTTATATCGCATGATGAGAATATTGAAGACTTGTTTGTAAGAATATTGTAAAATGTCTGACCAGGCCAAGGGTTATGACACACAGCAGCACACGCTGGCATGTTTCGGAGGTGCCGGCGCGCAGCACGCCTGCGCAGTAGCGCGAGCTCTCGGCATGACCAGGGTAGCAATACACAAGTACGCGGGGATACTGTCTGCGTTCGGGATGGCATGTGCGGACGTGGTGCAGGAGGCCCAAGTGCCAGCGGCTAAGACGTATCAACCAGGTTGTTAATTTGTTCTTCTAATATATCTCTGGGTTGACTCAAGGTTGATCCACTCATGTTAAAATTAGAACAACCACTTAACTATACAGAAAATTATCAAAATACTTTCCCCAAATTGCTGCCAGTCCAAACTATTTGGAACCGGACTTTGGTAAAATTATTTATAAATGCGGAAATTTGCTTTAAAAATTGAACATTGTATTTTTATGACTGTAAATGGTCATATTTTGCCATTTATTTCCTTTTTTGCAGTCGACTGGACACTGTAATTTGTATTTCAGAACACATAACTTTTTTAGAATCCAATTACATACTTCTTCAACAGGAGGTTCAGATATTCTGAGCGTTCAGAGTAGCAAGGTTCAGATAAACGGGATTCTGGCTTATTTTATTTAGTACAACTAACCCAAAATTAGATTTAGCTTTGTTGTTGTTGCCTGAGTTCTTGATGGTAATATGTTTGTGTTACCGTTACCCTATGCATTTCACCACCTTGTGTGACATCTTCAGAAGTCTTCTTATGAATTCATCTTATTATCACTAACACTATAGACTATATTTAAAAAATATCTACACATAGGGTACACAGTACCTAGTGTGTTTTTTGTAGTTTGTTTTAAAAAATTCCTGTAACACGTAGTTTTAAAAGTGTGTAATTTTACAATAAAATTGTGGTTTTATAAATAACCTTAAAGACAATTCGTACTAGCGTCACCCTTGTCAATAAATAAATATACACTACATATTGACAAATTCAAGTTTTACAATACCTTACTTAGAGTAAGATCTTGTGTGAATTATGTCGATGGGTTTGTAGTTTGTATAAATATTGACTTGGTATGTTCAACCCTTTCCATCAAGTCTGATGCTTACTCATAGTTGACTTCCACATTCACCAGGTCTTATGAGAGATAGTAGTGCTATTAAAATTACTGGAAACATCAGGATAATTGTCATTCAGCTGTCCTTGTGACCCTCATGAAGGCGCTACAGAAATTTTTACTTATTCCTGTGACTTTATACACTTCATTCTAAGTACCCTTCACTCATATTCAGATGTACACTTGCAATCACATTGTCCCTCTCTAAAAGAAATGTTTAAACCACGATATTAATATTCATTACCTATCCTATACAAATTTAACTGTGATTAGGGGATCTTTTTCAATATTTGATAACATTATCATAAGCCCAGTACCTGTTTGGTAGGCCATTCATTGTTTATTACAACAATTAGTTTTGGACAATACCATAATCATGTCAAAACTCCCATTTATTTTCAGTATTTTTATTCGTCAGTAAGGAAATTTTAAGGAAAACAATTTTTCTATAGCCAATGATGTTCTATGTTGGTTAACAATTAATGTATTTACATCATGGGAATGATTCAGACAGTTTTCCGTACCTGGACGAACAGTTGACAGCCTTGGCTGGACAGTGTGCCAGTAAGCTGAAGGCTCAAGGGTTCTCGGCTACACAGATTGTAACTGAACCTTACCTCCATCTCCGCTACGCTGGTACAGACTGTGCTCTCATGTGTGGGGCCGCACAGGACAGCGACAGCCCAGCAACCAAACACGGCGACTTTGAGAAAACATTCCTCGATAGGCAAGTATTAATGAATGCTGTATTGATTTTGACTGCTTTACCATTGACTTATGGATATTAGGGTAGATGGTCTGGATGCCCTTGTTAAACTATTCATTCTTTGACACTTGACCAAGCTACTGTCAAGGTTGTGCTAGAGCATTGCCAGTAGAGTATCCGTTCTGTGTGACTCAACAATGGGAATCTCAATGTTGCTGATGGGATTATCAGCCGCACTATTCATTTGTATTTCCCAAATCATATTTACACTCATGTAGAGAGTTTTCCCATCAACCTTTAACCCTGAATTAGACATCCCATCTATACGGACAAGCTGTAGCAAACTTTATATTCAAATGGAACATAGTCGAAAAGTCGAATGAGACATTCATAGAGTTTGCTATTTAATTGTCAATATAATATATATTTTTCAATAGTAAAAGAACATGTTTCTGTGAGCCAGTCACAGAATGTGCGAGTGTCTAAAATTCTATTTATTTATTTATTTATTATCAATCATCACATTACATCAAGTTAATTGACAGGTGATTTGTCCATAAGTCTTAATTACTACTAAAAGTAGACTAAAATTAAAAATGAGAAAATTAAAATCTATTTTTGCTCTGATAAGAATTCATCAACACTGTAAAAAGCCTTCTCCAATAACCATTTTTTCAAAGTTTTTTTTAAAGCTAGCTACAGACTCTGTGTTTTTAATGAATGTGGGTAATTTGTTGTAAATTTGTGGTCCCATATATTGAGGGGAGAGGTGGAACAATTGAAGCCTATGTTGAACCGGTTTGATTAAATTTTTAAATCTCGTGTTATGAGAATGGTTTTTTTGGCTTTCCATGAATAATCCTATATCACCCTTCACCATTAAAGCGAGTTGATAAATATATGAACTGTATAAGGTTAAAATTTTAAATGATATGAAAAAGTCTTTACAGTGTGCAGTCTTAGGAACTCTTGCGATCAGTCTGATAGCTCTTTTTTGAAGAGTAAATATTTGTTTAGCCCGACAGGAAGATCCCCAAACAATTAATCCATAGTTCATAATAGAAGAAAAATAAGCGTGATATGTCATTAATTGTGTTTCTAAATTTGTGGTATATCTAATTACACGAATAACAAATGTGGCAGAGACTAGTCGTTTTGAAACATTTTTAATTTGTTGGTGCCAATTAAGATTTGAATCAAGAGCTATTCCAAGGTAGTCTACAGAGTTTTCGGTGTGAATAAGAGACGAGTAACAATTTACTGAAATATTTGAACTTAAACTAGAGGGTGAAAACTGTATTAATTGTGTCTTTGACATATTCATTGAAAGCCCATTTACTGAAAACCAGTTCTGAAGCGATTGAAGCTCTTTGGTGATAATGAGATGCATCGGCTCGTCGGTTATGCCTTTGCAGATGAGAGCAGCAGCAAATGTTCCTGATTTATTATTGATATTTTCTACCTTATTTTGGTTGCTGACAGTTGATGGGCCATAAAAGAAATTTGCTATAGTTCTATCAGTTTAACTTGTTACAAAAGTTTGTGTATTCAACAGAAATCAGTACTTTACATCAGCATAATCTGTCAGTGACCACATCAACAATGACGTTTTAGAAAAGAAAAAAAAACTGGCAAAAACTTTAACATAGGGATGGAATTTGTAGTAGTCAATAGTTAAGGTTTCAATAAATAAGTTGGTTTCTGTTTTATAAATTTTAACTTTTAGTGATATCAAATTATTTTATTTCCTAATTTAGATACAGATTTATATACCCTAAACCTCCATGTGCGTTGTTTCAAACACATTTATTTATTAGCTAATATAACTATCATGAGTAGAGTAACACACTTAAAAATCTTGCACAGGTACCAGAGTGAGTTTGGTTTTACCATCCCTGACCGGACGATAGTGGTGGATGACATCAGAGTGAGGGGGATTGGCAAGTCACTTACAAGACCAGATTACCAGATTGAGAAGGCATTTGAACCACCAGCTGTGGACACTGTAAGAGTAGAAAGCAAAATCTCTTTGGCAAATCAGAATTTCACATTTACTTTAAGATGGTTTGTAAATAAATAAATAGTAAAGTTAATATGTAATTTTAAAGTGAAGCATTGACTTTTAGATACTGAAGTTGACATCCAAGTTATATGAACCAGCTGTAGCAAATCTTTTACTAAAAAAGAATGTAGTTGAATGAGGCACTCACTGAGTCTCGTTACTGTAATAACATTTTATCATACTACGCAGACTCCTCAACAAAATTCCACTAAAAATGAAGTAATCTTCCTACAAACATGGAACAAGTAAACTGGTTTACCCATTCTAACTACGCCAAAAACCAACCACTATCTTCTCTTTACCATTCACTCCTCCTATAAGTTGAATCAAAACTAAACGTTGTTGTAGACAACATCAGTGTATTTCGAGGGTCTTGGCTACACAGCTACTCCGGTATACCTGATGTCTGGTTTGAGGGGTGGCCACCAGATAGCAGGTCCGGCTGTGATAATGGATCAACTCAGCACTATCCTGGTGGAGCCGGACTGTTCCGCTTCCGTTACTGACTCTGGTGACTTGATCATTCACATCGGCTCTGGGCAGAGGAAGCTCATCGGCACTGATTTGGATCCCATACAGCTCAGTATATTCTCACACCGCTTCATGAGCATTGCAGAGCAGATGGGCAGGTATTGTTGTGTACTTGATTATCTAGTGTCCAAGCAAAAACCATACTGATTGTACGGTTCATATAGTCGTGGACCCAAGGATTGAACCTGTGTCTTAAGCCAACAATCTTTGAGTTCATGTTAGCTAAGCTTTTCCATGACTAAAGTATCCCTATTTTCCTCTCTAGGTCAGGTCTATGATGTTTTTGAAAATTGAAAAAAAATATATATTTCTATACTTTTCTGAATGTTGGTTCTGTATAGATTGTTAGTACCAGGTGAATTAAAGTCCTGCTCTATCCCGTCCTGAACTAAAAGATCAATTCCGATGTTCCAGAGTGCTACAGCGTACTTCCATCTCCACCAACATTAAGGAGAGATTGGACTTCTCCTGTGCTCTGTTTGGGCCGGATGGAGGTTTGGTCAGCAATGCTCCACATATACCTGTACATCTGGGAGCCATGCAGGAGACTGTGCAATACCAGGTATCAAGATGATCATTTTTTTAATACATTTTAGATAGCGATCTCGATATTTTTATGGCGAGTCGGGCTAACAGTTGGCCCGAGAGATCTGTTGAGGCCGGAAATAACTTTTGGGACAAGCTCAGGTCAGGTCATTTATGTTATAGGTGTGCAAGAGGCTTGATTTTTAAGTTGAGCGGACCTAATATTTTATTTAGTTGCACAATCAAAAATTGACAATTTCACCAGGATCACAGGAAATGTTGATTAGGTCTCTGCGACTGCAGAAGATGTAAACAATTCCGCTGTGACAGTGTGAGTTATTTCCGCTCCCGATTTTGCCGTGACCTTGACAGATGTTCCTGATTTTGCCATGACCACAGAAGATGTTAGAATATTGAAATAACCGATTGTAGTTAGTATTACAAATAATATTTTTTTTAATCAACACTTTAAAAAGTTATCCAATTTTAAACTGAACCAATTTATGCCAGAGAGACAATATATATAGAACCAATCACAAAGTCTAGACAACCCCCAAACCTGAACCTAAGATAACACCTTGCATCCAACCCACTCCACTTCAACATCCAACCCAACAAGCTTACATACTTATTCATATATATATACCTAGTGTTTATAAGATAAACTGAAACTGTGTTTTTTTTTTTCATTTATACTATTGACAACACTGTCTCATCAACTCACTGGCCACCATATTGGACGTAAATAAAACACTCTCCTCTGTAGTTGAAATTGAAAATGCTGCCAGTGACATTGAAATATTATAATTTTGTGTGTATATATTGGAATTTTGTGTGTTTCTTGTGCCAGTTGAGTTTGGCCTCTTTCCCATTCAGGTGAGCCCTGCTATCCTCTCAAAAAATTCTAAAAACCTAGGCCCTTGTGCTCTAAGTTACATTATAATGTTATCTAGTTGACTTTTGTGAAGTTTTTTTGTGTAAAATTCAACTCCATGTCGTTTGTTGCAGATGAAAGTGGTAGGTGACAATTTTAAGGAAGGAGATGTGATTTTGTCCAACCATCCTAAGGCTGGAGGATCACATTTGCCTGACCTTACTGTCATCACCCCTGTGTTCTACAAGTAAGCATACTAAACTCGTTGGCCCGAGACAAATCTCTCCAAATTAAATCTTCCTCAGTTAAAAATGGTGTTACAGAGAAATATTCTTACTTTTGTTTATAATATAAAGTTTCATATTTCTTTTGCCAGAGTGGACTCTTTCTCATTCAAGTAAGCCTGCTACCCTCCTTAAAGCCATAAAAATCCTTAAAGCCAAGGCCTTTGTGCTCTATGGCAGTGTTTACCAATCTGTGGTACACGTACCACTAATGGTAAGCTGAGGCAACTACAGCGGGGTGTAGTAATTTGGTCTTATTCACGTCTTTGGCATTTTGAGAAATATTCATACTTTTGGCTGAAAAATTCATTAGTTTAGCAAATTATAAACATAGTCCATCCATAAATATCTCCAAGTGATTAATTAGTACGCAACATTCTTTTGTCTATATGTTTGTCTTGTAAAGTGGTACGCCAGAAAAAGGATTAGGAAACACTATTCAATGTGACAATGTTTGAATTTCCAGAACAGTAGACAAGCCAGTGTTCTTTGTGGCAAGTCGAGGCCATCATGCAGACATCGGTGGGATTACGCCAGGCTCAATGCCTCCACACTCCAAGAGTCTGCAGGAGGAGGGGGCGACCTTCAAGAGCTTCATGTTAGTGAAACAAGGTCGCTTCTGTGAGGCGGAGGTCACTGAAGCTCTCATGGCTCCTGGAAAAATCCCCGGCTCATCTGGGACAAGGAACTTAAAAGATAACCTGTCAGACCTCAAGGCACAAATCGCTGCTAATCAGAAGGTAATTGCACTGTTTTGTTTATTTATATGCTGAAGGTCATCATGTCATAGAACTACAAGACATTTATCAATACAGTATTATTATAATACTTAAAAAAAAAAATAGTAATTTTAATAAGAAAAAAAATTTAATATTTTACTCCAAATTTCATACATTTATTAAAAAATTGAACTAAAAAATAAAATGTTTTAGTGAGCAACCAGTCTTCATTTGGATTTTTTGGATCGGTGATGTTTTTAGAATGATCAGGAATCAAGTTAAATTATTTTGGTCCAATATATTGAGGTGATGCTCCATACTCCATAGCTATAGTTATGGGCCTTAATTAAGCTATTATGTCTAGTATTATGTTACTTAGTATTAGGTATGTTTCTAGTTACCTACTAATATTAATAATTTTGTGCAGATTTCAGCTGAACTTAAAGAATATTAACATAAATAATTCCACAAAAAAAAAAAAAAATTGTAATGTCTATCCATATTTTGGGACCAATGATAGTAAATAAGTCTTAGAGTATTATTGTTTCATTTTTTAATGCCTCAAGCTACAAAAATAGTAAACGAATTGTAACCTTTTTCTTTTTTGTTTCTTCTTAACGGATAATTTTTTTATTTGTTTCACTCCCTATAAACATATAGTACGACTCACATTATTTCTTCAGCACTTTACCATAACACAAAAACGACAAAAATAGTTTTGTAATTTTTGTCAATGTAATCTCATCTGTGGAAAAAACAAAAATAAAAATTAATTAATGGCTAATAATTTGCAGGGAATTAACCTGATGAGGGAGCTGATAGACTTCTACGGACTGGAGGTAGTGCAAGCATACATGGGACATATCCAGCATAACGCAGAGTTGGCTGTGCGAGACATGTTACGGGACATTGCTCGGGCCACCCCTGGCCATCAGCTGACTGCCACGGAGTACCTGGACGACGGATCTCCCATCAGTCTCACTGCCACGCTGGACGAGCAGAGTGGCAGTGCAGTGTGTGACTTTAGGTGGGCATTGTAGGCCTATCCAGAGAGTAAGGAACTTTAAATAAAATTAAAAGTTTATGCAATAAAAACATTTTAAAGTCAACTTTCAGTTGAGACGTTTTAATGATACGTCACCATTAAAGTCACGAACATGCTGGATCAGAGAGCGTCTACTGTAGCTCAGTTGTAACATTTTCATCTGATAAAAAATAAAACTTGAATAAAACTTAGGTCTAAATTACAAATTATGAGACTAAATAAAATAAGTTTTATAACATAAATTAAAGAGAAGCATAGCTCGCAGAAGATGTCTCGACATCTTTAAACGTTACGTGATAGCAGTTAACTTTTGTTATTCTTGTCTCTCAGACCACGAGAGTCAAACTCGATGTTGCTTAGTTTTTCCCTTTAAATTAATCATCAGAGTTGTAATTTATTTAGTGTTTTCCTATGTACTAGTATATTAATTCCTGTTAAATGGTTATTTTTTGTTTATCAATCAATATACCAGCAATATGTTTAACGGCTGTATCCGTTAAATGTTATATTATTAGTGATCCACTAACCCTTATAACAATAAGATACACACTATTTGTATAATGTTTATGGGGACCTGTAGGAGACTCCACTGTATTTCATTCTCTCCCTCTAACAGTAGTTATGTGTCTGTTGCCAGTGGGACGGGCCCAGAAGTGTGGGGCAACTGTAACGCACCAAGGGCCATCACACTATCTGCTCTTATCTACTGTCTCAGATGCATGGTGGGGAGAGATGTACCGCTCAATCAGGTATGTCTTTCACAAACTTAACCCTTCCCGGGCTATGGACGGATATATCCGTCAAACTCCATTTACGTTGCGGGCGGGAAACGGTTATATCCGTCGCGATAAATTTTCTTTACGGGATAAAGACGGATATATCCGTCAGAAAAACAAATTGATATACATTGGTTATAACGTGAAAATAAACATCTTAATGCATTATAAAAGTGTTATTTAGTTTTTGTGGTTGGCAGTAATGTTTTCTGCGACTGTTTCAGCTTCTATTTCGCGCCATAGAGTGCGTTAGTTGTGTGTAAATAGCGCGAAACTGTCAGTGTGGGACGCTCTCATTTGGTTAGTGTTTGCTAACAATTTGTTATGTGCTTTATTTATTTTATTTAGCTAAAATGACTAATCCAAATGATCCGAATTTTGAAGTTGATGTGATTGAGATGTTGAATAAAAGTGTATCTGAGGGAGACTTTGTGTTTGACAGTGGAAGTGACGGTATCGGCATGGATTGTGATGATGAAGAACCTGACGAACGGTCTTCACTTAGTGAAAGTATTGGGGAACATGAGGTTATGGAAGCAGAACTTAGTGGTTTGGATGTACTTCAAAGTGATAACGTTTATGATGAACTGATGGCCGTAGATTTCGGTGATCAAAACGATATTGTTCCTAATGAAAACAATGAAAGTGAGAATTTTGGAAGTAAACAAGATAGTTCTGACAAATGTGATGAACATGTTTTGTTTTGTGATGACGAAAGTGAACAGGAAGAAAATGTGTCTAATGATCTAAGTACAGAACAGGACAGTAGCAGAGGAAGGCAAACTTTACCGTTTAGAGGAAGAGGATATGGGCGAGGCAGTTGCAGAGTAAGAGGCGGTGTCCGTACCAGAGGGGGTCGAGGCAGGGGCAGTGGAGGAGTTGGATTACGCGTCAGGGGAGGAGTTCGAAGTGGTGGCAGAGGAAGTGGAAGTGTAGGAAGAAATAGAGGTGGAATGGGAGACGGGGAAAGAGAAAATGGTGCTAAAACACTTACAAAAAAACAGAAAGAACGCATCGTGTGTGATCGACAGTGGCTGCAAGTATCGAACCACGACCCAGGTCCAGTAAGTACCTTTCCTATTATAAATGACGGCGCTGGTGTAAATATTCCATCTACTTTTGACGAAGATACAAAGCCTGTACAGTATTTTTCCCTTTTTTTTAATGATAATATACTAAACCTAATCTGCACAGAGAGTAATTTGTATGGCAGCTCTAAACAGGATGATGAAATCCTCAGTCCGAAAAGCAGATTTCAAAAATGGGAACCGTTATCTGTAGAGGAGCTAAAAGCTCTCATTGGAGTTGTTATGAACATGGGTATGCACCCTTTACCCGACCTAAAAGACTATTTTTCTACCAAATGGGTAAATAGAATGCCTTTTTTTAGCGATGTGTTCAGCCGAGACCGGTTTTTGATTTTGTTCTGGTCCCTACATTTTAGCCACGAAGTAGGACCTGACCGTGATCTGAAGATAAGGCAAATTGTTGATCACATCAAAGAAATGTGCAAGACATTTTACACTCCGAGCTCGTGGGTGTCTGTTGACGAAAGTACGGTTTCTTTCAAGGGAAAGATCGTCTTTAAGGTATACAATCCGATGAAACCAACAAAGTTTGGCATGAAGATATTTGTCCTGTCTGATTCCCTGAACGGCTACATTTATAATTTTGATCCGTACTATGGGAAGAATGAAGACGATCCAAGCACTGATGATTTGTTAAAGACTACCAAAACAGTATCACAACTATGCCAAACACTCATCAAAGAGCCCTCTAATCCACCTTCAGGAACCCATGTCTACGTGGACCGATATTACAACAGCCCACAATTGGCCCAAGAGCTCCTGAAAATGAAAATGTACGTAACTGGTACGGTTTTGCCAAACAGGTCACAAATGCCTGTCCTAAGCAGGGCACTGGAAAGAGGAGAGGTGGAGGGTCGTAGAAATGGGGACATAGCTGTGGTTTATTGGAAGGACAAGAGAGTGGTGACTGTCCTCACCACAAAACACAAAGTAGACAAACACCATATGGTTGATGTTCCCTCCAAAATACCAGGAGTCGATGGTGTAAGCAAACCAATTGCTGTAGCAGACTATACTAAGCATATGGGTGGGGTCGACCGGAGTGACCACTTCATATCTAACTACCAGTTCCTTCGCAGAAGTAAGAAATGGTACAGGAAAATGTTTTTCTGGCTGTTGGATGTAGCAGTTGTGGATTCCTACATACTGTACAAAACAATGCAAGAAGAGCACGGTAAAACGCCTATGAGCCACAAGAGCTTCAGGATGAGTGTGATCGAGGATCTGGTCAGGGAGCACATGCAGTCACGTTTCCGACTGGAACGCCGCAGACCTGGCCGTCCAAGGGAAAATAATTGTCAGCGGTTGGATGGCAAACTACACCTCATGGGAAAGTTGGAAAAGGGCTCCAGAAAGTGCTGCGTGTGCCTGAAGAAGAAGCTGCGAAAAGAAACTGTCTATTTTTGCAAAACCTGCGCAGAAAAGCCGTTTCTCCACCCCGATGATTGTTTTGCAGTGTACCACACTGAAGCTGAGTACTAGGGCCTTTTTTCATTGTGTATCTCATCGCCCTTTTTGAAATGTAACTTATACATAATTACTTTTATCTGTAATTTTTTATGGCCTAGTAAGCATAAATGTTGTAAGTATTTTTTACTGCTTTTCTCAATCTCCAACTTTTTTGAATACACGTTTTTTATAAAGTAGGCCTACATTTGTAAACAGAGTTTTTTTATATACATTCCAAACCAAATAACCTTGATTTCAACGTTAATTTATAATTTTTATTGTGAAATTTAGCTGTAATAAACAACTTTTGTATATTAAAATGTTGTCTTTTTTTGCCTTTTTTATAAAATTGCTGTTTTTAGGACAATAAACTCTAAATTTTATAGATGACTAATAAAACAAGTGAAAAACTAAGGTAGACGGATATAACCGTCCGACGCCCACAAAATAGCCAAGGTCAGCAGTGTTCATATATTATCGTTACGGGCGTCGGACGGAAATATCCGTCCACCTTACGTTTCTTGCGGGCCAATGACGGATATATCCGTCAGATCAAATTTTCTTTTGTTTATAACTTGTCTAAAAAAAATATTTCAGGAGAAAAGTAATGTTGTTTATACTCTATGAATGATTTTAAGCAAATAAAAAACAAAAAATAACAACTTTAGTTTTTGAATTTTGGTGAAAAATAATTAAGCTCCAGCCCGCCATTTTATTTAGCCCGGGAAGGGTTAATATCAGAGATTCTAGAAGGTTTCAAAACTTTAGCATTCATAGTTCCAGTCCCATGTGCAACGGTTAATAGAAGTTTTATTGAGTGGATTTTCAATGACTAAGCGACACCCTACCTAAGGCAACTGAAAAATCTTTGATGCAAGAATTAGAATTAGCAAAATTTAAATGCCCCAAGTCTGTCCCAAAAATATAGATGCATGTATTTAAGGTTGCCCCTGTCTTCCGTTATAAACATTTAATGTTCCAAATTTTTAAAAAAACCTGGTAACCTACATTTTAAGTGAAATCTTAGCTTATGACTTCTATACAATGATTTATAACAAATAAATATATTTTTAATGAAATCAAGAAACATTTTTTGAAATATACGTACATTAAATTAATTAACGATTAAGTAATAACTTGTGTACAGGGCTGTCTCAACCCTGTGAAAACAGTAATACCTGTTGGTAGTCTACTGGACCCTTCCGACAATGCAGGGGTGGTGGGGGGAAATGTGCAGACGTCGCAGCGCATCGTGGACGTCGTGTTCAAGGCATTCAAGACATGTGCTGCTTCTCAGGTGACTGTTGATAGAATTGTTATAATTAACGCAATTTTTGCTTTTCCATTATATGAGCTAATGATTATAAAAATTGTGAAAATAGATTAAACTAGGGGCCCAGAGCAGCAATTGCTGCCCTTCACCTCTTGTTTTAATTTGGCCTTAACCATTCCCTATTCTGTGCACTGTTCATAAATACTCTCCTTCATAGTTGCGGTATCTTAACAGGATTCATTTGAACACTGCATTACTATTCTGACCTAAAAACAGAACACTAAAATTAATAAATACCCCCGCCGCAGCAAACCTGCAGACTAAGCGAATTTCCATTTGACTGACTGGATTTACACTGAAATGTCTACTTAAAAATATAACATTTATTCCCTATTTAAATAGAATTAGTTTAACAAGTACTTAAGTTTGCTGCATCAGGGAGGGTAAAACTGTAATTTTTTGTAAAATGTTAATAGTTAGTAAGAAATAAAAACATTTTCCAAATTTGATCAAAATATGTTCATAAACAAGCAAACTACAACAGTTTACTTATTCTCCATAAGAATAACATGGGAATTTTAAATTTACAATTTTTTTGAATTTTCTCCGTAACCATTAGGCGCATAATAACGCTTCAATATACTAAATTATTTTTATTTTTAAGCTCTACAAAATGGTTTGGAAAGAAATTGCTAAATTTTATGTTTTTTGGGTCAAAAATGGGAAAAACCTATTTTTACCCCATAAAACCCCCCGTAAACCCCCGTTCCCATGGTCCGATCATGCTGGATCGCGAACTCGTTCGAATAAACGTAGGTTTACACGTTTGTACCAAATTTCATCAAAATCGGATCATTTTTGCTCGAGTTATCGTGCTAACGGACACATATATATATATATATGAATTTGAACGGATGGTGTTTTTGGCTTCTAGGGACCTCAAAATGAAAAAAAAAATCGGTCCTGCGTCCAGGATATGTGCGTCGTCCTGTAATCCAGCTACTAGGAGGTCACGAATTGTGGATATACATATATTAACATATATTCCCTATATGGGAAATTTGCTAACAAACAAATATGCAATGTTTACATCAGCTGGTATATTTAAAACAGCTTATAGAAATACTGTAGCAGTAATTCCCTGTGTGGCAGAGCAGGGGTAATTTTTGACACCTCTGATATTTTTCCTTCCATCCTTGGACCTTAAGCTTTCAAATGAATCCTCATCAGCCATGCTACCTTTTTCCTAGCGCAAAATATTTCGTGGGGACCGATTCGCTTACGAAATTAAATATATGGATTTCTGTCTTTGTACTGATTAGTTTTTGTGTGTTTATCAAAAGTGGTTGTTAGTTTATCTTAATTATTAACCTAGCATTTTCTCCTAGCAGGATCTCAAAGATATGTGCATAGAATATTTGAGTATGGATACAAATGTTAATTTTCATGTTAAAGTCGCAACCAGTTTTAGAATGTGGATGTTGCGGAATTAGATTACCGACAGATGGCGCTGATGTGAATGACTGATTTTTGTTAGAATGTGTAATCAAACTGAAAGGACAACTAAAGCATCTGCATCTGTATAGCTCTTCCAGTGATGGCTGTTATATTTTTATAAGAGTAACAGCATTTTAGAAAAATACTCCTTACTCCTTGTAAAAATTCAAATGGAAAAAATATATTTAAGAAGCATTCTTATAGCTCCAATACTCCTAATTTGGTACTCTTCTGTTCGAACACAAAAGATTAGGTTAAGTAACCAAACATTTGAAATGAAAGTGTATTTTTTAATGGACAAATAACCTAACCTAGTGTTTTGGACTTTGGTAATAACAGAAAACACCTGGTGTGGTCGATATAACAGAAGAGTCCCCCTTATTCTTATTCCTATTCTTAATGTGTTGTTTATATCTGTTTCAGGGCTGTATGAACAACGTAACGTTTGGACAGGAAGGTTGGGGCTACTACGAAACAGTGGCTGGTGGAGCTGGTGCAGTAAGTATAAAAATCAATTTTCATTTATCATTCGAATTTTAACACATTCACTGCTAATGATATGTAATACTTTTATAAATGGCTAAAAAACATAAACATTAACATGATCATGTTAATTGAGTGACAATATATCTTTAATTAAATAAATTTTATGCTACAAATTGTGGATTAAAATATATTATGTAATTATATACATCATGTATTATATATCTGCTAATATACTTATGACGCACAAGTGCGTCATTAGCAGTGAACGTGTTAAAAAAAATAGTGAGAGTACATGTGTGAATGACTTAAGTTTTTACTTGAATCTGACATGGGGAAATGGGCTATTAAGCTACAGTGTAGGAAATAGTTTAAACATATCGTCTGTATTCTCCTGTACATGATAATGATAAAATTTAATGTATTACGTTCAGAGTGATATACAACTTATTGCACATAAATTATTGCACCTCTGAATGAATGTATTTTCTACAATTTTAAAAATTTATCAACCGCCCCCTCCCTTTTATCAAATAACCTGTTCAAAATTCCCACGTCAAAGCTGAAGAAAATTCCAGGATTGTTAAAATATCAAGTCTAGTGAATGAACAGGTTTCATCTTGTAAACTCAGTCATATTCCGGTTATAGACATAGACATAGACATACTTTATTTGCACAAAACATTCCATACATGTCATAACATTTAGAATAGATGCATTGTCAAAATTAAATCCATACATAAAATATTTAACATTAAAAACTTTAACTTAAAACTAAACTCTTAAAATAAAATAAAATTCTAAATTGTTGTTCTGTAAAAATCTTCAATTAAGTAAAAAGCCTTGTCAATAAGTAAATTGTCCATTGTATCTTTAAATTTGGTTTTGCTTAATGACTTTTAGCACGGCGGAAGCACATTGTACAATCTTAGCCCAGCATACAATGGAGATTTTTCATATAGGGTCAAACGGTGTCTGGGGAGTCTAAATATATTTTCATTCCGGGTTTCATACCTGTGATTAAAATGTATTGTTTCTGGTAGCTCATTTTTAACTGAATGTATGTAATTTAATAATTCTAGAATATACAACCCCGTTAGTGTCTGAATTCTTAAATTTTGAAAATGTTTCTCACAAGAACTGCGTGGATGAGAGTTGGTGATAATGCGAATAATACGTTTTTGTAACCTGAATAAAGTTTTAATACCAGTAGCTTGGCCCCATACAATTATGCCATATCTTAACACTGACTCCACATAAGCATGATAAACTACTTTAAGTGTCTCAATAGAAACACAGTCCCTTAGATGTATGAATAAAGATGATATCGATCTAACTTTGTTATGTAAATAATTCAAATGTGAATCCCATTTAACTGCGTCATCTACGTAAACCCCTAAGAATTTATGAGCTTCAACAAAATTAAAAGAACAGATTTCCATATTTTTGTGTCTAGTAGAAAATTTAATAATATTTGTTTTTTCAACATTAAGTTTCAACCCATTTTCTAAAAACCATTGCTCCATATCCTTTACCACATTTTGCAGAGAAGAAAACGTTTCAGTTGTATTATTATTTTTGATCAAAGCAGTAGTGTCATTGGCAAAACGTATTAGTTCTTTATTATTAGCTTTTATTTAAAAAGTGGGCCCAATACTGAGCCTTGGGGAACACCTGTGGATATAATTTCCCATTAGGAATAATGTTTGTTGTTATCTTCTAAAATTAAAGTTCTTTGTTTTCTTTCAGAAAGGTAAGATTGTATTAAAGAAAAGCAACTTCCCCCAATCCCATAATCATTAAGTTTCAGCATCAGGAGTGAGTGATCCACACAATCAAAAGCCTTAGACAGGTCACAGAAAACACCTGCTGTGGCCTGAGACCTGTCCAAGGCCTCTGTAATCTCATTAACAAACTGATTGAGAACAGAAACTGTGCTTAAGTTTTTTCGGAAACCAAATTGTTTATTGTAAAATAAATTATTACTTTCAAAATAATTAACTAGTCTATAGCTTATTACTTTTTCAAATATTTTAGAAAAATTACTTAATACTGATACTGGACGGTAGTTATTAATATCTGATTTTGAACCTTTCTTAAAAACGGGAGAAATTTGGGAGTACTTGAGTTGATCCGGAAAAATACCATTCTTTAAACACTGATTTATGAATAAGAGATAAGGGTTCGGAGATAATGTCAGAACAATGTTATAACTTAGTGATTTAAACATGATTTCTGATGAGATTTTGGGTTTCCTAGCAAGAACCTAATCTATCAGAAAACATTGTTTCCAAAACTTCAAAAAGAAATTGATCCAAATCTAGAATGACTCAAACAAAAATTCTCTGGTTTCAATCGAAGCTGTGATCCAGTAAATGACAGACTGTTTAAATAGTTTTGTACAAGGAAAGGCTCTAGGCCAGAATTTTGATTTGTAGAAAAGTGAGGACGGCAGCTAGCTTACCATGAAGAAGCATAGGCAGGCCATAGAACATACATAAGAGACAATGAACACACAATATTTGTCTTCTGAGGGACTTGTAAAGTGTAGAGAAAGTGAAGAGAGATTACAAAATGGCTGTTGTAATGACTATCTTACAACTTTACAAACTACGACTCAAAAGATCAAAATGCAACTTTATGCCTTGCAACTACAACTGTAGACCTGATTTGGCTTGCCGCAGGGCCCGGACTGGCACGGGCGGAGTGGCGTCCACACACACATGACCAACACTCGTATCACAGACCCCGAGGTACTGGAGGTCCGCTACCCGGTAGAGCTGCAGAGGTTCAGTTTACGACCAGGGTCGGGTGGTGGGGGAAGATATCGTGGAGGTGACGGAGTCATCAGAGAACTGCGCTTCAGAGCAAGCATGACACTGTCCATTCTCACTGAGAGGAGGGTGTTTTCCCCGTATGGTCTGAAAGGTATGTAAACCTATCATAAACCAAATTCACAGTTCATTTGTTTCAAAATGTTTTTTGTAATTTTTGTCTAAAAATTACAAACCGTGCTACGGCCAAATTTGTAAATTGAAGTATACTTATAACAATTTTCTTACATATTTTTATTACCACAGTACCTACAACCTAGCTTACCCAATCAGGTTTTATCCAACTGTAACTCAAATGAACCGGTTTGCGGTTTTACCTGAACTCAAGTGACCAATGGGAAACTAGTAGATTACGTGACACCAGCTTACCCAAGATGGCTGTTACATAAAGACATTTTTGCTTGTTTTGTCTCTATCTCTAGCGCAGCTGTTTCTTTTATCGAATCAGTCATTGAATCAGTAGACAAAGGACATATTTATGGACCTTTCGTTCTATAGTGTAAAACATAGTAAATTACTAGAAAAACTTAAAATAATTGGAATATCTAAAAGACCTCTTAATTGGTTTTGTTCCTACTTGAAAAATAGACCTATTCTTCTATTCCTATTCTACAATCATAACTTATTATTAAATTCATAAAAAAACTAATTTTATAAATTTCAGAACAGCACAGAACAAAATCACAAAAGAGCCAACAATAATTTACAACTCAAATAACATTCAAAGGAAAATCAAATCAACTTTTTGAGTTTAAAAATAGATGAACATTTGAATTGGGATAGACACACACAGAAAGTTTTAATCAAAGTTAACTCCGGAATTTTTGCATTATAAAAAATGTCCTTTTATTGTGATTTGAAAACCCTAAAAATTATATATTTTACTCACTTTCTACTAGTGAAGACCTTTAATTTGATGTGCATATCGACCTATGCTTACGTTAACAATTTTCTTCCGATTCCTAGGGCTGTGCCCCCTGAGGAGTAGGCGTATAATAGCAATGTAAATTAAATGAATCTTTGAACAACTGTCATTTTGCGCAGGATCAACCTTTTGAAGTGCGGTTTTCGGCATTGTATTCTACTAAAAAAGACCTTTAATTTGATGCGTATATTGACCTATGCTTCCATTTAAGATTTTCTTCCGGCTCCTTGTGGGCCGTCCCCCTGAAGAGTTATTTTATCACTGAATATGTGTTAAAATAGAGTTTTATGCCCTGTAACTTTGTACCAAGTATTGTAGCTCTATCTGCATTATTTTTTTTAAATATTTAACTGTCCTGGGACTTTTTTACCACCCTGTATATTGGTTTATTAACTATAACTTTACTTACCAGTTTAAAAAAATATAAACAAAAAATTTTGGTAAACTGGAATTGGACTTTTATCTAAGAGATTATAGCTGTCATTTTCCATCATGATAGTATGATTATAGATTACAGTGTAACACCTGTTCCAGGTGGGATGCCAGGAGCCAAAGGGTTGAATCTAATGATAAAATCTGATGGAAGAGTTATATACCTTGGCTCAAAGACAGCGATCAATGTTGAACCTGGGGTAAGTATTCTTATTTCACTTACTGACAGCTTATAAGTGGACATAAAATAATCAAGGAATAGTAGGTTTTACAGTGCTTTGCATGAAATAAGCTAAACCAATGCTTTGTTAAGATGATTGAGAAAATGTTGATTAAATAATTTAATTTGAAGAATGAAAGAAAGAACTAATACCCCTGCCGCAGCAAACCTGCCGTCTAAGCGAATTTCCATTTGGCTGAATTGATTTTCAATTGATCTATTTAAATAACTAGGTTTAATGAGTACCTAGGTTTGCTGCTACAAGGAAACTAATAAAGTGTGTTTTTAGGTAAAATAATTATAGCTTAGTATAAAATCAATATATTTGCCAAGATTGATAAAGATTTATCAACATCAAGATTTTTTTAGTTTTCTCCGTAACCAATAACCGTACAAAAACACTTTGATATACTGAATTGTTAGTTTTTTAAGCTTTTTAAGAAGGTTTAGAGAAAAATTGGGAAATTTTATGTTTGAAGGGTCAAAAATGAGATAAACCAATTTTTACTCCATAAAACCCCATTCCCATGGTCCGATCATGCTGGTTCGCGAACTCTTTCAAGTTTATCCCGCCTTTCACCTTCAAACCAAATTTCATCAAAATCGGATAAAAATTACTCAAGTTATCGTTATCACGGACACACACACAATATATATATTATATAAAAGAATGGTGTTTTTGGCGTCTGGGGACGTCAAAATGAAAAAGTAAATTGGTCCCGGGCCTAGGTCTTACCGTGCCATCTACGGTAATAGCTACTTCCCTGTAGGGAAATTCGCTAAAAATGTGCTTTATTTTTCACAAGTTATTTACAGCTGATACAATAACAGAAAACACACACAACGATAGCTTATTTAAACCGTCTGTTTGGTTGGCACCCTGCTGTGAAAGAACATATTTAAAAACTGTAACATAAAGTACCTATTTAACTATACATATTCAAAAAACTATATAATTATTATTTAATTTCAGCTCGTAAAAAACTAATCATAAAAAATAAAATCAATATTAATTTGTATAAAGTATTACGATTCAATTCTAAGCGAGTCTCATGATTTTAAAATTTAATTTGCTTATATACTTTCTTAGCTGATCCTAGCTGGCCCCTTGATCATTTAGTAACGATTATTTGTCTAATAAGCACCTGATTTTAGTCAGTAATGAGAATGATATCATAATTATTTATTAAATTATTATCTTTGCCTTGAATTATACACCCTAGTTTCAAATTAAATGGCTAGATGCACTATCAATGAAGGATATTAAAGCAAATCTAAAAAACAAACTATAAATTTATTTTTGTTTTGTAGGATGTGTTTCAACTATTGACACCAGGAGGAGGAGGCTGGGGGGAGGGGGATGGTGATGAGTCAGTTCCTCCCACCAAAACTCCCAAGTTCTTGGAGCGTGGAAGTGTCTTCGAGTACCGCAAAGCTCAAGAATCAGTTTAGAGTGAAAATAAGCCCAGGAACAAATTACAGGATTTATTGTTATAGTTACCAAAATGTTATAATTGTTAAAAAATATATTTTTAATATTGTTAATTGTTATTATATCTTATTATTTTCAATACCTGTGAGTTACAGAAGCAATCTAATAGTTTCTCTTTGTTGCTGTTATATTTTTTTTAGAACATACTATACATTACTGTACATACTATTGACAATTTCTGTTAAAAATTTAGCTACATTCAGTCCCATTTTCTGCACAAAAAATAGCAGTCGTGGGCAGAAATCTATCCATCTATATTATTAATATGCAACATGAAACTTTGTGAACAATAAGGCTTTTTTGTTTTAAGATTTAACCCCACATATTATATACCAAAATGTTCGTCTAGTTGTGTAGATATGCAATTTTACCTTACATTTTCGAAAAATTCCCTTTTGGGCTCTGCTCCAGTGGCTTTTAAAGTTCCCACGTTATCCTTATGAAGAAAGAACATATTTGTTTACATTATTATCAGCTGGATGATTTAATTGCTGTTAATATTTTGGTTGCAATTTAAAGCCTCGGTCACACTAGGCTGTTTAGCAGCCGCTACTAACCAGCCGCTGGCAAATATCGCCAGCAGCCGGCGGATCTGTAGGGTTCACATTATAACCACTAGCCGCTAGTTTGTAGACGTAATTTGCTTCAGCATCACTCTTCTTTGACTTTTTAACGTTGTTTTTCTCTTTCATAAGACCAAAGCTGATTTTAATTTTCCTTCAGTTGTAAACTTTTATCAAAACAGTTGTAAACTTGTATTAAAACAGTTGTAAACTTGTATCAAAACAGTTGTAAAATTGTATCAAAACAGTTGTAAACTTGTATTAAAAAAAGTTGTAAACTTGTATCAAAACAGATTTAAACTTTTATCAAAACAGTTGTAAACTTGTATTAAAACAGTTGCAAACTTGTATAAAAGACAGTTGTGAACTTATATCAAAACAGCTGTAAACTTGTATTAAAACAGTTGTAAACTTTAAAACTTTGATATTGCTCTACTTTTCTTATATTCATATTTTATAGTCATAGTTATATTCACATAATATTAACAGTATTTTAAAAAACTTGTATGAATCTATACTTATTTAATACGCAAGCAGGATTTTTGTGACAATTACTCCTCCGAAACTACTGAACCGATTGACATGTTGTTGGTCTCATTGGAAAGAGCGTAACGTGAAGTTGTGCAGGAAACTTTCTTTTTAGGGAAATAATTAGAGAATGAGGCCCTAGGGCCCTTTAAAGTTTCGTATTTCTCCATAAGGATAACATGGGGAGATAACTTTTATTTACAGAAACATATGTTTGTTACTTGAAAATAGTCAAAGACTACTACATAATAATTGCTTTGTAGACTGTTAATGTATACTACATTTCAATCAAGGATTGTGTACCTTAAAGTTTACTCATAATGGATCTTACTACTTTATTTTAATGCTGGGAATAGTAAAATTTAGTTGAGAATAAGTTACCATGATTAAGAAAACTTTACGGTACTATAATCTATATATTAATTTGAAACTGTTTTTCTTTGTCATAGCTTTAGCTATCAATTTATTGAGAGAATGGCTGGGCGTAGAAACTTGGTAGAGGTGTCTAAAGAAAGGTCTTGGTCTGTAGATGAACCATCAAAAGAGAAACGTGGTAAATTCCCTTGGGGCTCTGCCCCGTGGCCTTTGAATTCCCATCCCATGTTATTCTTATGGAGGAAAAACTGGGTTTTTGTCCCAGCTAATTTGAGAGAACGGCTGGGTGTAGAAACTTGGTAGGGGTCTCTAAAGAAAGGTCTTGGTCTATAGATGAGCCATCAAAAGAGGAACGAGGTAAATTCCCTTGGAGCTCTGCCCCAGAAGCCTTTAAAGTTGCCTCTTCACATTTGTTTACCATATGCATAATTCTACACTACTTTTTAATGAAACAGCTGTTAATATTTAAATTGTGATTTATTGAATTTTTCAAAATGAAGTACAGCATTTGCAATGGGTTTTTCTGATTTTAAAATCGATTTTATTCTGCATCGTGTCATGTTTTGCAATATAATGTTCTATTACCAAATCAGTGGAAAATCCTAATATCACAGTAACTCTTAAAATTATTTCTGAAGGAGTTAACTTATATCTATTGTATGGCTTGGTTTCTGCCTTTTTTTACCACTTCTTGGAGATTGTACGTAGGTGATATTCTTTGGCGTATTGCATCTGTAGACAAAACTTGGGTGGGTAAAATTATTACAATGGAAAAAAAGCGATAAATCCTGGACAATTTTATATAGGCGAAAAAGGCATAGAACACAACCAAGTAGAAGAAATATTTTTTTTTTCATTTATAATCGTTATTATAGACAAGCTAATGCGGCTATGAGAGGGAAACATTTTTAGAAACACTAAAAAACAAGATCAGCTTTTTGAGAAAAGATAAGATATTTACAAAACATTTTGATTATATCTAACTATTGTGTAGATCATGAGTATTTCCATAATCTTCGTGAGTCGCCTGTAATGCTTCGCAATTGCTCGAATTCGAGCAACAGGTACACTAGTTAAATTATAAAACAAGATACATATTGTTTCTCAACAATTTTAAATTGTTATTGATAATGCAAGTTTACAACTGTTTTGATACAAGTTTACACTGTTTTGAAACAAGTATAAAACTTGTTAATACAAGTTTACAACTGTTTTAATACAAGTTTACAAATGTTTGAAACAAGTTTACAACTGTTTTGATACAAGTTTACAAATGTTTTGATACAAGTTTACAACTGTTTTGATACAAGTTAACAAATGTTTTGAAACAAGTTTAAAACTGTTTTGAAATTGTTTTGAACAGTTTTCAAGCTACTTGGAATATATATAAAACTCGAGCAAAAATGGATGAAATTCGGTATAAACTTTTAAATCAACAATTATTCTAACGAGTTTGCGAACCAGCATGATTTAATTTGATTTTATAACAACCTTATAATTTATATCAATATTGAGCCGTTACAAAAAAACCTTTTATTCATAATTCCATTAAAAACCGTTTAAATATTGCTTTGATATTGTTCAATTTTTTTTTATATTCACATAATATTAACAGTATATTTAAAAAATTGTATGAATTAAATTATAAAACAAGATATATATTGTTTTTCAACAATTTTAAATTGGTATTGATAATGCACAAACTCATATTATAATTGTTTTGAAACAAGTATGAAACTGTTTTGATACAAGTTACATATTAATCAATGATAATGATCAAAGAAATTGCAAAATATGAAAAAAAAACATTAAACAAATAGATGCAAAGATCTAGTCTAATACATATTTTGTTCAAGATGTTCACAAAATACGCTATGTAGTAAACCATCGTTTTATACTAAAACTTTTGTATACACCTAGCCAGTTCCAAATCATATTTCTGATAATTTTTGTTGTGAAATGGTACCACTGTTCTTTTAAGTTTTCTAATCACATGTTTTGAAACATAGCTTTGTCATAGTGTCAGTTAAATTGTCAGTGTATATAAACACATCTTCATTCTAAAATTATGTGGTTCTAAATTACAGTGGATGAAAACTCTTTTAACACTATTTTGATAACACTTAAACATTGAATTGATTTACCGTACCTTCATATTTACATACATTTTGATCTTTTATGTCTTATCTTTTTAACAAGTAATACAAGACAGTTTTAGAATGTTTACAAATCCTCTCATCTAGAAAACAAGTCTTAGGGATCAAAAGTTGTTGGCTTGGAGCAAGGGGTTAAATGATGGAAAATGGATAGACAAAATCGTGACAGGGGTAAGTTACCATAATGTAAATTTAATTCTTTTATGCATTGATTGGCATTTTAAAAATATGAAAAATAATTACTTTTCAGAGGAGCCTCACAACCAAAGCACCCAGCGGATAATACAGGTTTATACAGTATATACCTGTATACCTGTTTTAAGCCTAAAAATTAATTGTGATTACTAATAAGTAATAGACATGGATTAGATCCCTAAAGTATGGGTTACACTTAACTTGATACCGTACTTCCAGACACACAACAATGTTTCATTGATGTAAATTGATCCATTAATATTGCTTTAAAGTTTAAATCAAATGTAAATAAAGTTTCTTTTTGTTTCCTTACTGTAAAATGTTGCAGACATTTCTCAACTCAAATAACTCCTTTGGTTTGACATCGTTACAAGTTTGTAAAACTACTGCAATACCTTCATAAATAGGTACCTATTTAAATATGTGGTGTGTCATGTATCAACAGACAATAGGCCCTATAATAATTTCAGTAACAAAATTTTGCTTTGGGGTTTACCATCAAACAAAAATAAGGCAATTGAATTTTTTAAATGTAGAGGTTTATTACATAGTGAACGTCAAATAATAGTCATCAATCAACGTATCATCCTGTCTCGGGCAGGTCTAACACGCTACTCATAAGGAGATCAACTGTCTGTGGCGCTTAGCAAGAGAAGCCCACCTAAAATAAATGGTTACCAGCTTATGGAAGTTGATCGGATGGGTAAATTCTTTGTGTGCCACACCTCTTGCATTTTCTTAAACTTTGTTATTGCAATGTGTGTTCGTATCCACCAAAATCTTGTTTATAATTATGAATTAAAATTTTTGTGCTCATAAGATGACGAAATAAATAAAATAGGTATATAGTTATTATCAAATTCATGAGTGATCTCCAGAGCACAAAGGGTTAAAGCACATAATCACAATTATTTGAACTACAGTAAACTGTATGTAACCATATTGTTCCACGATTTATAATGTAAAAATGTTTCAGATAGTGCTACCGAGGGGAGGACATTGCACACATATACACCAAAGGTAAGTATTAAACCTCTGACAGTAAAAATCATACTTATGTTATGATTAATTTATTTTTGTTGCAAAACATATAATATTCATATTTTGTTTGGATACCACTTCAACTTATTTACATTTTTATGGTAATTTGTGAATTCAAAGCTTTCCGTGCATAAAAATTGTCACTAAAATTTATGTCTTAAGAGTCCTTGGAACCTAGACGTTCTAACTAAAACAATAATA